TATATGGAGTGAAAAAAATCACATATGAAGCGTCTTGTAGTGTCTCTTTATACAACCAATACATTATTTTTATTTTCTGTCTCCAAGGTTTATCCACTGTGGTAAAAAATGTATCACAGGTTTGTGATTACAGCAATAATTATATATAAAGCAAAATAAACTGCATGCATGGATACTACTATAAAACTAACTAAAAGTAAAAAAGCTTATGATAAAAGTTTATCTGTAGACAAAGATATTACAAAGACCCATAGCAAAATAATCCAAAATGTGTATGAATTTCAATCTGTAAAAAAATGTTAGAATGATGTTTATGGAGTTATTTTTGCATGGAGTACATTGGTTGCTGCATGATTTCACCCTGAACATTTCAAATATGGTGCTTTGACTCTTTGACCCTGGCCGTTTAGGTAATTATGGGGAGGAGGCGGATTGCTGCACAAGCTGAAAGCAGGCGAAGCGTTTGCTTTATCAGCAGAGACAGCGGTTTGTAGATGTCGAATAGAGAGAGGTGGGATAGTTACAATGGGAACCTGTGCTATATTACAAATAGTAAAACCAATTTAAAACTTTCTAAAGAGTTCCTGCTCCCACTGACTGGTACAAACAGGCTTTTTTCTGTGTATTTTGCCAACTGCACTTTCACACAGGAAAGTGGGGATAGCGTTTCTTGCTCAGCCAATCAGCTCGCACCCCAAAGAGATAGTGACTCATTTGAAGCGTTTTACACATTTACAAAAGTTTACAAACGTTTTCTCCCCCCAAAGTTAGGTAAAAGAAATTACTCATGTGGGGGAGTAATTAAAAAGGTGACTATCAAAAAAAAAAAACCTCATATTTATACACAGAGGCTACAACCTACAAAGGATTGTTGTGAAGCCAGAGCATATACTGTATACAGGTCAAATAAGTGTACGCAGTCCTCCCCAGACGAGAGGCACTGATGATTTATTAAGGCACACGAGGGAGAGCGGAGGTGCACCAGACAGCGGTGATGGAGAGGAGAGAAGAGAGCCGCAGGGAGATGGAGTAGATTTGTCCCAGACGTGGTGGACACAAGGGAACTACAAGAGAGAAAACAGCACTTTGATAAGGTTTGGAAATAAAAACGTGAAAAAAAATACAGTATCACAGATGGAAGATGGACAACTTTTTGCACATGTTGTACATTTAGGGCACAATCACACTTGCTGGTCTTGATCAATTTATCTGAACTAATTGTGGTTCACTTTGGCTGTCTTTCCACAAGCTTTTATCAGTTTAAACAGAGCACCTTAAACTTGCCTTTGTATCGACTCTGTTTTAGTCAATCGATCGTCAATTGTCAACTGTTTACTGTTTTGTTTGTTTTAATTCTGTACTTTTAACCTTGTTATATGGCTGTACTTGTCTTGTGCACACTGGGGACTTTGGCAAATGTATTCCAATGGGGGGTTTTTTTCTGCAAATGGCAAAAAAATGAATCTGAATCCGTTGTGGCTGCAAAACCACCAAACAAATGAACCAGATTGGTCCAGTTAAACTTAACTTGTCCGTAACTGAATATTGGCCCATAGTGTTAGCCCATGGTTTGGTGGTCTGAATCAAAGCATGTGACATTTTACATATGCACTTTGAGCAGCTAATGGTTGAGAGAGAAACAAATTATGGACATTTTCTATTTAAGACTCTCAACCGGAAAACTAGGTCCGACCCTTTAACACATACAGTATAACATAATTAATAAGTCATTAGTTGAAGTGGGGTTACAACAGGCACCACTGACTGCATAAGAGAGTATACTGTATATGCAGAACAAGTGCATGAGGTTAATGGCACACACTGTAGATGATTGGAAATGCCCTGTCTGAGCAATGTAGTGATTGCTTTGTATCATGTTCTTCTCAAATTAGATTCTCAAAGTTTCCTGTGGACCCATTCTGATCCAGAGGCTGCTGCGAGTGAGTAATCTCTCAAGTGAGGTGCCCTCCATCAATCTTCCATCCAGACAACACGACGTGCACTGAAGGACACAGGCTGTGGCAGCAAACACAATACAGTACATCACATCACAGGTGGACAAGTATTGCATATTTATTCACTCCCATGTTCTGTATGTGAACAGACTGGGCAGCTACAAACTGGATTCATTCAGTCCTAAAATCCTGAGATCTGGAAACATGAAATCGGAGAGAGCTGCATCTTTTTATGGCCAGGATACAAATGTTGTGTAAATGATAGCTTACATAATACCAATATAGTTTATTCTTCCACATAAGGAAAGAATGTGTGGTGAAAACAAATATGAAAGGACTCAACCCTTTAGGGAGCTAGTTCAGGAGCCACCAGGAGTTCCCAAGTTGCAGGTTGGAGACGCCGGGTGTAAAGCCTTCACTCACATAAATGCTGTTACAATAAATCCTCACAGATCTTTGTGTGGGCAGCACCATCTCTGCTCGTCCTTGACAGGCACTGCAGATGAAAACAAAACTCCAGGAGGAATTTACCACATGCAAATGAGAGGTCAAGGTTGCAAAAGTCACAGTTGATCAAATTGTGCCTGTTGGCAGCATATGAGTGAGTAAGGCTAATGTTTTCCCTCCAGGAAATACTGTTCACTCTGTTAATGTATTTACTGTAACAGCTTATCCGTTTATTCCTCTCTTTCACTGTCACTAATTGCCCATTACACAAAAACAAATGATGGTCTGGCACAAGAGTCATATTATGATAGTTGGCAGCACGATGTTATTAACGATTTGTTCTCTGCCTTGCTCGATTTGAGTAATTCTAAGTCACAAAGTAGTCAATTGGAATTAGGCTTCACCCGTTGTGTCCTTCGATGATATTTGTACTTGAACAATCAAATAAATAGCTAATATATTCCTCTACTTGCTTTCCACCTCTGCTGTTTCTACTGTAAAGTATTTATGAGGGGACTGCGCAGCCAAGCTGAGTGTGAGTGTTTGGCCCTAATCCCATCATGCGGTGAGATTGCTGCTTGGTATGTTCTGCCCAGTATGCCTGTCCTATTATCGCAGCAGTGCCTCAGTCTTCTGTCAGTGATAGCTCTTGTTTTGCTTGTGGCTTTGGAGCTTGAACCAGAGCAGACCACAGCAGAGACGAGAAAGCCACGGTGACACTGACAGATGGACTTACTCTTTGGCCGAGCTGACCGGACACAGGTAATTACAGTCGTGACATTTCTGATACAAAGATGTCATTCTGGTTATTGTCCTTTAGGGTTCAGATTTATCTTTTTAAAAACCTCTTTCACATATTAATTGTGTATTCGCTGTAGGTATGCACATTTACTGTGCTGCCTCAAAAGATAATTTATGAGAAAACTCTTTTTAAGAGATTTGGGGGATTTGTTGGATGTGTTGCTCAGGGCAAAAAAACATCTATTCAAAGGCAAGGATTGAATTGGGGTTTAACACTAAAACATTAAATATTTAAAAATGCATAATACTGTATAACCTGAAGAGGTTTTCTAAAGTGAAGTCAGTGCCAACACATCTTTGTCACTTGATAACCAAAGCATTGCACAATATTAATTTAAACAATTTTACATATTTGGAATATAATTAAATAATAATTCATTAGTGTACATAACTGCAAACCAACAAACAAAAATAAATAAACTGGACTCATTGAACAGGTGTGATGTGATGTCTCAGAGAAGACAAAGCCTAGTCACATTTGAACATACTTTATGCACATTAAAGAAAAGTAGACTTTTGTACAATATCTCACTAAATATATTTACATGACATACAATTCGCCATCAGTGCAATACATAGGAATGTTGCATATTTTCCAAATATTAGACTCTTTCCTTTATGAAGAAAAATAATGTAAATAAATGATTAGAGCTGATCGAACTGTGTGATAAAGCAACATGTGCAACTTTTATCTGCTTACAGCTTTATAAGAAATAATACAAAAAAAGTATAATTACTGCTCTATCAACAATCAAATATTAAGCTTTGTAAATCAAATAAATAACATGTACATACTGTATATATATATCCATAAATGAAATGGATTGCTTTTGTACAAATATTTTATATAACTTTGGCAGTTTATCAGAAACAAAGTGATCATATAAATCCAAACAAAAATATACTGTTACCAATGTCTTGTAAGCTTGCCTTCCAAAGCTCATGTTCACAGTGGTCATTCAGAAAGGCTGGAAGCTGATGGTGAAAACAATGAATCCAAAGAAAAAGAACCCTCTCCGTCCAATCAGACCAATAGCACTGGAGGCTGTCGTCATTGTTGTCATGGTTATAAAATTACAAACACCTATGAAGGTTTACATAGCAGTCATCGCCATTTAAAAAAACATCTTTTAGGACGACTTAAAATACAAACAGTTTGAAGGCAAGGGGTAAGACCCTGCTCGATGGTCACTGTGGAATCATGGGAGAGACATAGCCCAGAAAAGACATGCACAACAGTGTCGCATGGAAGAACGTGAAGCCAAACAAGGTCAAAAGAAAAACAAAACCTCTGCAACAATCAGAACGCCACACGGCCAGAAACTGACTTACACCGGACAAAAGAATCAAGCAAATTTCAAACGTACTATTTCACCATATTTAATATATGTTAGTTTGTTCTTTTTTTCACTGGTTTGGCACTTCATTGGAACGAATCTCAGTTCAAAAAGACTAAATGTTGTACAAAAGGTTGTTCATGTCTCATTAACATAATTTGTAGAATATAGTACTCAATAGTAAGCATACGGTAAGTAAACACTTGTACATACTGTAGTTTAAAATGAACATTCCAACAGATGTTACGCACATGCACAAAACAAACAAACAAACACAACTCTCTCTCGCACTCCCGATCGCTGCCTGTGACTCCACTCTTTGATTCTTTGGAAATCTCCTCCACCTGCTGATTCCAGCCCTTTCCTGACTGAACATCTGTTGCTACTGCTTCATACCGGTTTACTTACTTAAGCTTAAGACATGACAACTCTTCAAATCCTAATACCGCATGTTCCACAGTTACGACACCTCCTCTGCTGAGCGTGTGTCTGTCTTTAGGCGAACAAACTCTTTAGCCACTTCGTCGTTGGTCCTTTGGGAGAGTATCCTCATGATTGTGAGGCCGGTTTCGTCCATAGAGATGCTCTTGACCAGAGGGTAGCAGGCTGAGCAGCTGCCTGAGTCAGCCAGCTCCCGCAGTGGGATGACGGTCATGCCTATGACGCGGTCCTCCCGTGCAAAACAGTAGTCCTTCACTGAGACATGCAGCTCGTAGTACTCTGGACCGTGTTCATTACTCAGGACACTGCACAGAGAAACACAGTGAAGAGTAAACAGCATGACTTCAAACCTGCTTCTCCAGTTCAGCCTACCATCAGCTGTTCAACAAACAGAAACTACACGGCAAGGAGTGATGGAAAATAAGTCAAACATCAAATTTGGAAAAATGTGTCTTAATTTGAGCACAAAATTTTCCAATGGGACAAGCAAAATGATCTTGCTTTGAAAAGATACAAGAAATGTCTCCCTTGGATGAGAAAATAAAGCAACAGCCCTTGAAATAAAACTAAAAGGCTTTGTCTCATTGGAAAATCTTGTTTTAAGACATTCAAAATGTAATTAAAAAAACAAACACTTGATTCAAGCAATTATTACCTCATATTCTATATTTTTCTTGCAGTTTATAGTGTCCTTATGGAAAACCCTCACCATAACCCATGGGACAGGAGGAGCACAAATGCAAATGATGTTCTTCACGACACTGACACTTGCTTTTGTTCCGGTTAGAACAAAGCCGTCACTTATGCTGTCTGCCTGGCTGACGTTTGAGCAGCAAAAAGCAGAATTACGTTACTCATTGTATCCTCAGACCATTGGCTCCTTTTATGCGACCGAACAGAATGTTTCTATTTTAATGAGCTGTTCTTCTCAGTCAGCTTTTTCTTTTTGCTGCATTCTAATTATCCACAGCAATTAACAACTATGTGAAATCCATACAATGAGAGGTGTAAGTCTGTGTACATCTTTATTTAACAGCCAGCCCTAATTGCACTGCGGTATCCTCAATTCTGCTTTAGATCTTTATTCTCTTCTGCCTTTAGTTGGAAAAATGTGAACAGATAAAGAAGCGGATTAAACTCTGGACTTACTACTGGAATGTTTCGTTATACTTTGGTGACCAGTTGTTGTTCTTGGTCTTAGTGCTGAATTTGCGTTTCTTGTCAGCCAGGTGAGGTCCCACGGCGTTGACTTCCACAAAGGGCCGGAACATGGCGTTGGTCTGCCACATGAGGTTGTCCACGCCCACCACTGCACAGAAGCCAATCCAACACAGACAACACTCAACAGGAGGGCTTCAATCCATCGGAGGGAGTCTTAATCAGCTGAACAAATGCCCTGTTGCTCCAATAGCTGCCCAAAAAGACTTTTGTACCAAGGTATCTAGGATTATCTTTGTGGAAAGTTAGTTTGAAGCTAAAACTTTGCATCTTATTTTTCTATATTTCTATATTAATAATAATAATAATAATGCATCGGTTTTATATAGCGCTTTTTTGGACACTCAAAGACGCTTCACATGTGTCATTATTCATTCACTCCATACACGGTGGTGATAAACTACTACTGTAGCCACAGCTGCCCTGGGGCACACTGACAGAAGCGAGGCAACCAGTATGTGCCATCGGCCCCTCCGACCACCGCCAACCATTCACACACACACCAGACTCATTCTAGGCAATGGGGGTGAAGTGTCTTGCCTAAGGACACAACGGCAGTTTGGCACTTTACAGCCGCAGCCGCCCCACTGTGGCTGGTGTTCCCAGAGGTTAAGTGTCTTGCCAAGGACACAACGACAGTAGTCAGTGGGAGTAGATGTCTCAAGTCTTGAGCGGGGCTTGAACCCACGACCTTCTGGCTCAAAGGCCAATGCTCTACCAACTGAGCTACTGCCGCCTATTAGAAGACATCCATCCATTTTCTTCCCCTTAATCCATTTCTGGGTCAGGGAGGGTGGCCATAGAGATGCCACCCAGGACACAGAGCACCAGCCCCTCACTGATCCTTCTGCAGGTGGTTAGTCCACAGGAGCTGAGATCTTTCAGTGGGGGCTTCAGGCAAAGTGGGGTTAAGTGTCTTGCCCAAGGACACAACGAGAGTCCTACTAACGGGAGTCGTGAAGTAGGACCTTCAGGCTCAAAGGCCAATGCTCTACCAACTGAGCTACTGAGCTACTGTAGAAGACAAATCCTTCTAAAATGACTGTCGGTAGAGAATTGGCCTTTGGACCTGAAGGGTGTGAATTCGACCTCCCCACGAGAACTACTCCAACAGCTCGCATGTCTCTCATGTCTTCAGACACTTAACCCCATGTTGCCCGAAGCCCCCGCTGAAAGAACACGGCTGTGTCACTGTTGACAGAGCAGCCATCCTCCCGTGGACTCACCACCTGCAGAGGATCAGAGGGACTGGTGCTATGAGCATTGGGTGGTACTGTAGCTCTCATCGCTTCCCCCCGGTCCCCGAGAAATGGACTAATAAAGGGGTAGAAAATGAATGAATGAATGAATATATTTCAGGTCATAGAGGTAATTTTGTCCAAATATATTATACTGTATTATTTTCTGGTATTTATTTCTAAACAAAAAGAGTTTAGTTATGTTGGGACTGAACCAAACACTGGACATAAAATAAAGTATTCCAGACTGAGCAAGACGACACAGAGGAGACAGTACACACCAGAGCCCTTGCCAGTGTGTACTTCACTTTCAACAATTTTCAGAGAAAATTAGTACTAAAAATATGTATTACATCAAATCTAATAAATAAAAATATTTTGCAGCCAGAATGATAGACCTGACTGAACATATATTTTGTATCTAATCCAATATGTTCTCACAGAACTTGGGTTATGAAGACAAATAATGTTTCAGGGAAAAAAAAAAAATCAAAATTTTTAGCGATGAATACAAAATATGGTCAAATTGTTGTGATTGATATTTTAGCATCGCACACTCAACTCAGATGTCCAAAATTGTATTTATTCATGACGTTCTGGCTTTATGTCTTTTTCTTTTGACCGTATAATACAAAATGGTTGCCAGCCCAGGTGTTCATATGCCTCCAAATAAGTGGGAGGTTCCCATTTTGATTCTTGCATCTGCACTTCATGAATTCATGTTTTGGTGCGTGTGCGATACCTGCTCTTTGTGATTGATGAACATTGATCTGAATTGAATTTCAAAGTAAATAACCAGTTTTACATAGAGATCGACTTGGACACCCCTAATGGACAGATAAAAATAAAGTGTGGAGTGTTCAACTCCACACTTTAAAACAGGACGTCAGAAAATTGGAGAGGCTATATCGCCACTCCCACTCGGAGCCTGTCCACAGGGAGTGGAAAGCAGGTCTCCGAAACTACAAGAAGGCCCTTCGCGGGGCTCGAACTCAATACTATTCAACTTTAATAGAAGCGAATAAAAACAACAGTAGATTTTTGTTTGGCACCGTCGCTAAACTCACAAACTGCCATAGCGCAATCGAGCCTAAAATTCCAAGCTCACTGAGCAGTGTCGACTTTCTCCACTTCTTTAATAATAAAATTACATCCATCCGTGACAAGCTGGAGGAGGTTGCTCCTGCTGTTAGTGGTGGACAGGTTGAAGCGGCATACGTGACTTCCCACTTAGACTCTTCAGTGGGCCTTAATAAATTCATGGCTGTGAGCCAAGCAGAGGTGATCTCTGTGGTCACATCCTCAAAAGCCTCAACTTGCATGTTAGACGCAGTCCCGACATGGCTCTTCAAAGACATACTTCCTTTGATAATTGAGCCTATCGTAAATATAATAAACGCATCCATACAATGTGGCTATGTCCCACAAGCTTTTAAAACCGCGGTAATCAAACCCCTTCTGAAGAAAACAAACCTGGACCCAGAAATACTTACAAACTACAGACCGATCTCAAACCTCACTTTTATATCTAAAATCCTGGAAAAACTTATAGCTGAGCAGCTCCGCTGCCACCTGCAGGAAAATAATATGTTTGAAGTCTTTCAATCAGGATTCAGAGCTCATCATAGCACTGAAACGGCACTAGTCAAAGTCACAAATGACTTACTACTAGCTGCCGATAATGGACAAGTGTCAGTGCTGGTCCTACTGGACCTTAGTGCTGCATTTGACACAATAGACCACAGCATTCTACTGCAGAGGCTAGAATGTGATATAGGTCTTAGAGGAACAGCCCTTGGCTGGTTTAAATCCTATTTATCAGATCGATATCACTTCGTCAATGTGAATCAGGACTCGTCGCCTTATTCTGGAGTGGAATTTGGTGTGCCGCAGGGTTCGGTACTCGGACCGATTCTTTTTACTCTCTACATGCTGCCACTGGGAAACATTATTAAAAAGCATGGAATTAATTTCCACTGGAAGCATGGAATGCAGATGACACACAGCTTTATCTGTCGATGAAGCCTAACCAGACAGATCAGCTAGAAAAGCCCAGTGCCTGCATAAAGGACCTTAAAATGTGGATGACTCTTAACTTCCTACTTCTCAACCCGGAGAAGACAGAAGTGATCCTACTCGGTCCGAAGCGCCTGCGTGACTCCCTCACTAACCAGATAATTACTCTCGATAATGTCAGTATAATACCCAGTAACACTGTGAGGAATCTTGGAGTCATTTTTGACCAAGAACTCTCCTTCAAGGCTTATATAAGCCAAGCAACTAAAACGGCGTACTTCCACTTACGGAACATCGCTAAAATTAGGAATTTCCTTCCTAAAAGTGACGCGGAAAAACTCACATTCACGCGTTTGTCACCTCAAGGCTCGACTACTGTAACGCTTTACTGGCAGCGTGCCCTAAAGCCTCTTTGAAGAGCTTCCAGCTCGTTCAGAATACAGCAGCTAGGATCTTAACAGGTACCAAAAGGAGGGAGCACATAACTCCGGTGTTAAAATCACTCCACTGGCTCCCTGTGGAGTACAGAATAAAGTTTAAAATCCTACTCTTAACATATAAAGCCATAAATGGCTTGGCTCCCTCTTATCTCCAAGACACGTTAGTGTCGTATCAACCAGGTCGAGCGTTGCGCTCACAAAACGCCAGACGTCTGGTGGTCCCTAAGGTCTCAAAGGTCACTGTTGGTGGCAGAGCATTTAGCTACCAAGCTCCTTTACTGTGGAATCAGCTACCCATTTATGTTAAGGAAGCAGATACGGTCTCCACATTCAAGGCCAGGCTTAAAGCACTTTACTTTAATTTAGCATATAATTAGGTAATATATAATATGTAGTGTATATATTATATATATATGCTGTATTATGTTATATATTATTCAATAATGTATTGTGTTATGTTGTATATTATGTTATATATTATGCTGTATGTTATTCTTTATTCAAGGCTAGGTTTAAAACAGTCCTCCTTAGTTTAGCATATGGTTAGGAAGGTAAGACTCTGGGAAGGCTAAACTCCTCAGACTGTCAGTCAAGCTGCATAGGGAGTCAGTTTGCTGGGAGAAGTATGGTAACTTGAGCACTATCCTCTCCTCCTTCCTACTTTACCTGTTTAGCATTATTAGGATTTTGACTGTAGTTTGTTCATTGCTATTCACCCGTTGTCCCATTGTCTGTTTCATGGTACGATGACGGGATCTCTGAGCCTGGCCTCTTCCATCTACACCTGCGGACTGCCCCGCACGACCCGCCTGGGAGTGCTTCGGTCCTGCACCGGACCTGTCCACGTTCAGCGGCCACTGGTCCACGTTCTGTAGCTAGCTTAGGTCCTAGATCATTAGCCTGTCCGTCCGGAGGAGCGGATCCCTTTCTCATATGGGTCTCCCTCCCTGTGGGTTTCCCTAGTGCTCCCCAAGGTTTCTCACGTTTTCCCACTGGGTTTTTTAAGAGTTTTTCCTTGTCGATGCAGGAGGGTCTTGTTGGACAGTTAGTGTCCAACAGAAAGGATTGGTGATGATCAGGACACTTTAGCATTCTACAACATGTATGGACATTTTCTTCTGTGTGTGCTTTATATTCTTCATGTGTTTTAACTGTTGATTCTCTGACCTGTGTTGGTGATTTCAATGGTTTTGTTAAGTCCTCTGAGATGACTTCTGTTGTGACCTAGGGCTATACAAGAATAAATTGTATTGTATTGTATTGTATAAACATCATTAGTTTACCAATGCACCGAGTTATTGTTGAGTGATTCATGTTTTATCAAAGCAAATGCTCAGGCGAAATCTAAAGTCAGCAAATGTGAATCCAGCCAAATGATAAAGACATACTTTGTAATTGTGCAATTATTGGCAGCTTGAGAGAGAGAGAGAGAGAGAGAGAGAGAGAGAGAGACAGAGAGAACCACCTCTCAGTTTTATGCACTATGATCACAGTATTGACAAAAATAATATAAACTACTCGCAAAGAACATAAGACATTTATGAGTCTTAAGCACATTAAAAAACCTCAATCGCCATAGCAACGATGATCTATTTGCCATTACAGAGCGAAGCAGCCATTTAAAAAAAGCAGCATATGGCACACTGTGGGAGGTGCGCTGATTATCCCTACTGCTCTACGAAGGATGCTTTTAGTTGAACAGTTGTGGAAAGAGATTTTGTTGTAGCATAGCTGTGTTATTCCTTTAAAACACTGGGGACAGGTATTATCTCGGCATGGAAGGACTGCTCAGGTATGAAATTATAAACCCTACCAATAAAATTACAGAAAATGATCTTCCTCGTTACGAATGGATGTATGTTGAAAACGAGCTAAAAAAATTGTCAGTGAAAATGCCACTTTTTCCTGGTGATAATGAACATGAATAGTGCTTAGAGTCTGATTTATCAACCCTGGTGCGACACTGCAACACCACATTGCAGTTCATCAATCAAAAGAATTCGACCATTTTGTGTTTTCATAGCTTAATATTTTGTTTATTCATGAACCAAGTTTTGGGAGAAGATTTTGAATAAGATACAAATTATTATGTCAAACATGCTGGCCAGCAAAATAGCTGTTTGCGGCCCAATATGATTTTCAATTCTTACTATTAACTTGCCGTATTGATCATAGGTTAATACGGCTACCATGGCATGTTATACATAATGTTAAAGCACATTTCCAACACAAACAACATTCATTTAATCTTAGATTGAAATCAAATAATTGTACAAACACATGATATTTCAGTCTGGAATCCTCCTTTATTTTATTTAAAACAGCCTGTGCAATTGAATGTGATTAACTATTGGCGAGTGTGTTTATGACGCAGAACTGGATGGATTCAGCAAGTGTGTGATGCTCAAGAGGGCAGGGATATTAGGGTTAGGGTTATAACCTAGTTTGCATCTGTCTGTCGTATGTAAGTGAAAATGCCTTGTTTTATGTGTTCAAATGTGAATGCAGATGTCAATAGCATCTGTTTTTTCTTCACTTTTATCCTTATTGTTATGTTTCACTTTCACTCCTACAGCTGCACAACGGTTTAAAAGGTCCTTTGTTACGAAGAAACAAAGGACTGCATCCCACAGACCTGACTGAGTTAAAACATGTGCACTATGGTTAGAAATGTTTATGTACTTATGTGTTTGTATGGATGCGTTGCTGCTGCTGGACACCTGCATTTCTCCTTTATCAATAAAGTATCCATCCATCAAAATTAATTAAAATCCTTTATGTTCCTAGTCACTGGTTTATATAATCTAATCTTACAAATCTAGCTGGTGGTAGTTGTGCCCAGGGGAGGGAATATTTCAAATTGAAAAATACTACCGGTACATAATATTTACTTATTCTTTTATACAAAAAAATACAATTTAGCTTTACCTTTAACAAAAACTGTTAGGACATTTTAAAAAAGCAAATTACCACATGTTCTGCCAAAATAATATAACAGAAACGGCTGGACAACAATATTGATGGTAAGTCAATTCTATTCATATTTGTAGAAAAAAAATGAGTTTTTGGTCGATCTCCTACATTATGTTATACCTAACTGTAAAGCTTAAAATATGCAGAATCTACTCTTTATGGGTCAAGAGTTAGTAAGAAAATAAGCAATTATCATTCTGTGTTTGTCTAACATCATGGAATAGAGCTTTTACTTCTTTAACGTATTTTATAAAGATCTTTTTTTTGTTTTGTTTTTTTAATAAAACATTTGTATCAGTTAAAATCACCCATCTCTAGTTACAGTTAATGTTTTTCCTGTTCAAAATCTCACAATTGATTTCGACAAACAACAATACAGATCTGAAGTTCCGGCTCAGTTGTCATAGAGATGTGATATCCCCATGGTGCAACAGCCAGCTATTTAAATGCAGGCATTATTATAAAGGTGTGTGCGATGCCAAAAAACTCACCCTTGACGCTGACTTTGTGTTCCCCGGTGCCAGGATGAGAGATGAGATTCACTTGCATTGACACCTCCCCCACCGATCCATTGGATGACTGACCTGGACACACACCAAAACAGCAACAAGAGAATTGGGAAAAGAGGCTTTGCGATAATCAAAGATGTTGAAAGACAGTGAAGATAGGGGCTGAATACTGATGAAAGGCAGCGGCAGAATCTTTTTTATCTTTGGAAATGTGTGCAGTTGAATATGAACAAACCTTGTGAGACAAAGAATACACAGATGCTGAAGTGAAACTGAAGGGAAGCTCACTTGTTTTACCCTGCATGGCCTCACAGCGGCAAATAAAGCCAGGGTTTTCTTCAGCTTGCGGCTACCTGAAAACCGCAGCCTCGGACAGAAAATGACAATGTTTCTAAAGCCGATGGAGCGTGAAGCCCGAATAAATACACAATAATGTTCCAGAAGGAGAATATACTGTATGAAAATCCACAAAATCTATCCATAAAAGTACATTTGTGGTACATCTTTGCCATAGCCCGTGCTGTTTCACTGCGTCGTTGCCAGGACACAATTAGAATTGATTGCTTACCATGTGTCTCTGTGGCGCTAATGCATGATGGGACTGGGACCATAACATAGTCTCATGTTACAGTAGCACAGATGTTGAACACTGAAGCTTACAGATTGTGGGCATCCAATTGGTGTTCAATACAAGTCTCCTTTTGTGGATGGTGTAAAATATGTAATTGTGCCTTACTCTTTGCATAATTACAAGAATATCAAACAACATATTTTACAATTGAATACAAATACTAGTGTGTAATCTGACCATCGTATTTTGTACTGCGGACCCCTGTTATTTCTGTATTACTGCTAAATATCACTGTCTGAAGAACTGAATGTATATGTTCTACCCACATTGTTACTGCAGTATATTTATCTAAAGCATGAGTCCTTTCTGTCTCAAGTGATGACGTCTTCTGTTCTTATTGTTGCAAATCATAAAAAAGCCCTGTCTCCTTTTGTTGGAACAGAAGGGACCAGAGATAAAACCATGTTACAGGTGCAATAGCCGCTGCCTCGTCCTCATTTCTCGACACTTGATTCAACAACAATTTAAAATATTTAATGTTCGCCTCCATGCAGCATAAGGGACCACAAACACCACTCACAAGTTGCTGTTTATACGAAGTCTAGAAATGATTTGTACAACACCAAGGCTGTCTACTATTTAAATGCAATAGTCAATCTTTTCACCCAATAACAAATACATGCACATAAGACTCAGTGACCATAGCAAACAATTGCACGACATCCTTTTCCCCAATGGCCAAATGCGCATCAAGCACCTCACTAACTTCATTTTGTGCCGTCACACTAAACCCTGTCAAACATCAGGCTGCTCGCGAAAAGCAGAACACAATGATATGGTGAATTAAAGAGACACGTGGAATTGTCTGAGAATAGCACGGAGCTATTCCAATCTGCAAGTGTGGCGTGGAGGCTCTGATTGGGCCGCAAGCAGGCTGCTCCCCCGCCCGCCTCCTGCTGCCTGTGTTCTGCAAGAATGAACACGCTGAGGCCACCACAAGCCCATGGCCCGCTGAGCCCAATACCCCCCAAACATGCCACACACCTGAAGCTATTACCGACAAAACAAAAGACACAGCCAGATGAGCAAGGCGACAATATACAAAGTAGGTCACTGACGGGGATTGGGGACAGAGGGAAAATATCTATTTGCACACATAATATGAATTTGTCAAGATGGTGCTTCACACGAGAAACAAGTGAACCAACGAGGTAAAAGGGAATTGAATGGCCTGTTGTAAATACAGAGTGGGTAAAATTGTGCGCTGCTCTGTCTCCTAGCATTAACCCGCTGTCTAAAAGGGACCTTCGATCTGACAGGAGCTTACCTTGAGAGGTTTGGGTGCATATATATTTCTTGATCAAGGCATCTGTAGGTTGAGTATAAAGGCTGAGCGCGTACTTGAGTGACTTCATATCAGGACTCTTTTCCAAGAAGGTTTTCTTCAATCCATTTCCACCAGCATGGAAATATTGCTATAAAAATGTGAAGAAAACAATGTTTCTTCAGCTTATAGCAAAAGTAATCAGCAGACATGGTAACAGTGTGGAATTACAAGGACAGTGGACAAGGCGCAGCAAGCAGACAAAGACGAGGAGCGCTGTAAGTGCTCCTTCTACATCTAATTACCCAGCGTTTACACTCTAGCCCACACTTGCACGTTAATGTATTTGTCCTAATGATAAGGTTTAGTGGTGAGACGAGTCTGCTGTTCTTTCTATTCTGTCAGCACTCCCACGTATGGAGGTGGAGCAGAGGTTACAGACTCTGCTTATTAAGAGAATGGCTTTGATTATACCACTGTGTTTTGTAGAGGCCTCACAAGGGATTCCCCACAATGCCTTTCTGCCTGTGTATAAATAGTTGTGAATAGCACATGCTAATGCTGAAATTTCCCCGCTGTGGAACGAATAAAGGATCTTTAAAGTCCATTCTATATTAGTATAGGTAGTTTTCAATAAAACACAACAGTCAAGTTAAAGGCTCATAAGTGTATTTCGATTATTATCTAAAATAAATATTTAATTAAGCTTTTTTTTAAATCAGTTACATCAAATGTATTTACATGGTACATCACCGCACTCGCTTTATTGCCATGAATTTGAAGAATGCACTCATTGGATACTGATGCACAGGAAACAGGCACTGGTGATAAAAAGCTGCAGGTACCATCTTCAGAGACGTATAAATCAATTAGACTCCTCAGCACTTTATGATGCTCTAAGGCCTCTGCTGCAATAACTCTTCCTTTGTCCCTGAAGAGCTCTGCACTTAGAATTGTGTCTTGTCCCTTGACAACAAACAGCGGCATAGTTATAAATTAATAAGAACACAGTTTGCATTTCCTCATTTTATTCCTCAAATTCACCAGGACCACACCTCACTATAAATCCAGCTCAAGTCTAATTAGTATTTACCTCCCCCTCTAGTCCACCTCTCTTTTAGGAGTGAAGACAATGAAAGCCAATCACCTCCTCCAAAGCCCTAACGGGGTGTGTGATTACTTTACAAACATAATGAACCACATTGAGGCTCGCACAAGTCATTCACAGGTGTCATCATTTACAAACACAGTCTTCACCTTGATAGTGGGGAGCACTAAGTCCATGGCTGCACATTGACGTGGAGTTAAACTCCTGGCTTCCTCTCGAAAAGCATGCTCCTGCAACAAACATTCACTCAATTCAATGTTGTTACCTTTTGATCACCTAATATTGTTAACCTTAAACAAAATAATGATACAATTGCAGACATTAAACTTTCTTAGTAATGGTCATGTATGTTATTGTGCTAAATGTTATTGTAATATTTAAATACCACATTAATTCCAGTGTGGACCAGGCACATTAATCCTTTATGCAAAACTAAATTACAAATTATAATCCTACAGATGTGAGTTTTTCTGTGGCCCCGGGGTCCAAGTACTCACACACTCACATTTTAAGCTCACCATTTGGAGGTTTACACAAATAAGAGCCATAATAACAAGTTACTCCACTTTAATGAACTCACTATGGTCAACGTTTAGCAAATGTAACTCAGTGTTGTTTATGTCCAGTTAAAATAGGTCACCTTCATTCACAGCGACTATTTATACTTCTTGTAAAGCTCAATGAACGTAACAAAATCATTAGTTGTAAATCACAAATCAATATTGTTTCAAGCAATAAACTGTACCTTCAGTTTGGAAAGCTGTCCTAGATCCTTGGCGGCACTAAAGATCATCTGAGCCCCTTGCTGTTTGAGTCAGAGAAAAAATAGAGTGAATTTGTTATTCTAGTCGGCACATAAGACAGAAAGAGAAACCTGTTATGAACACAAACAGAAATAAATCATGAGTTAAAAGCAGCAAAAAGACCAACAAAGCAAAACAGAACGAAATTCACCAAACACAAAGAAACGATGACTGGCAAAGATTAACCATATGAAATAATAACCTGCCATGTGCTGTAATCTGCAGTCCCATAATTTCAGTGTTATGAGAAAATGGAGCAGATGGAAGGAAAGTGAGGGGAGTGGAAACAGGTGCAGCCGAGGAGGGAGGTCAGGAAGATGGATATGTGAGGAGCGGAAATGGAAAACGACTTACGCTTTGGTCACTCAGCGGTGGCAAAACGATGGTTCTCTCGATGATATTCAACACTATTTTCCAAAGCTCCTTTAAGACCCGTTTCAACACGGTCTTCTCGCAGATCTTGGCAAATAGCATCAAGCTAAAGAGAAAAAACAATATTATGATTAGTAGGGTGGAGATATTCAGATATACAATCCTTAACGGCAACTACATATTATTTATGACGCGGCAAATTAGCAAATCCATTCAATGTATTCTTGTATAGCCCTAATTCACAACAGTAGATATCTTGACGGATTTTACAAAACCGTTGAATTGGTCCACAGATCAGAGAATTAACCAGTTCAAACACAAGAAATGCCATGATAAAATAACACATAGAGCATTCTTCCATGAGGGCAGATGACCAATGTCCATAAATGTTGATAAAAGTCCGTACATTTAGTTGAATGCTGGGTGTCCTGGATCATTACCACTGTTTTTAGGCCCTCCTGCACAATTGTTACATGAGATTCTGAATCCAGGACAGTTTCTATACAGTGACCTGACTTGCCTGCATTTTTCGTACTGATTTTCCTTTTATGTTATTGACTTTAGTAGTCTTCAGATTTTGCCTGTGTTACATAATATTTCCTTAAAAATCTCTTTAAACTCAAACAACGTTCACAGTATTCAAAAATACTCCCCCCCCCCCGAATTGAAAGCCTAATTTTTCGTATAAATATATCTGTTATGTATTTTTAGTCTGATATAAAATATGTATTTCTGATTCACTGAGGACACTGGCAGTAGAATAGACACAGATTTAAGACCTTTTCTTTCTCTTGTTTGCAATTGCTGGACGAGCTAACTTTCAAATAACCAAATGAAAAATTATTGACATTTTTCCCATTTGTTATTAAAAAGCGTTAGAATGTCTGCTTTCAGAATGTGTGAATAACTCAATACTCCTCTGGATCGAGTCGTGCCTGATTTTTCTGTGGCTTGACACAGCCTTTAGGTCAAACCAGGCCAAATTTTGGATTCTGTACTCGTGACGTTTTAGTAAATACCTCTTGTGTTTCAAATAGGCAAGCGCGCTGTTTTAATCTTGCACTATTCTACAAGCATACTCTTAGAAACAGGAGAAAGGATTTTGTTTTCACATATCATTAAGAGGATTCTCTGTAATACCCCGTTGGCCTCAATGTTGCTACGACAAATGGCCCAAAGCAATTCTCTGAGCTCGGTTGAACCATATCATTGCTTTGGCTTCTTCCAATACGCCAAATAAGTACAGTCCCTCCCTCTTTGGTGACAAAAGCATTCATCAGTCATTGCAAAAACATCGCCGCATTGGCCTGGTGGGAATTTGAATATGTAAAGCTTCAGCTGGGAGATATGAGTAATAAAACCCACTACGTCAGTGAAAATCAAAGACTTCACCATTTTTCTTTGAGTAATTGAAGCCTGAATATTTCCGATAACAACCGTGCAAGAGCAATGTATAATATATGCTGCGTTAATATGAGTTTGTTTCAAAGTTTGTTCGCAATTATACACAGACGTCACCGTTTTATTCACACGACCCTAAACATTTGTGGATTTTCAGAAGGACCGTAAACACCATTGCTGTTTCATATTGTTATTGTGATTTCCCAGGGATATAACATTTATATATACATATTGGTGTTGAGTCATGCCGTATTTTGGTGCAGTCAACACGCCTCCAGGCACAATACAACAGATTTATATGGGCATGTCGATAAACAAGTCCATGCCCTTTCTCTTTAACACAAGAGCTGTAACTCTACCACCTCAATTAAATGTAGTCTTTGCAACAGAAAGTCACACAAGGTTAGATTGTCACAAAAAAGATAATTAGCTGGGGAGAAGCTCATTATTTTTTTCTTTTTCTATTTCTTTTTATCATACTTTTTATCCAGGAGGTCCATGAGTGGCCGTAGAACAGTCTCGGCATCCATTGCGGGGTTGTTGCCTTTGATTGGACCCTTCATCTGCACCAGCTCTGTGTTCATTTGCTTTACGCAATCTTCAATTACAGGTTTGAAACTGGAAGAACAAAAGGACGACAACAGTTCACATTAATTGGTGCATTAGAGTTGAACAAAACAGCTGGATCAAGAAATGTCCGTGAGGTGGTGATGAAGAGCTGATATGTCTATATAATGTGTGTATATTTTTTTGTTTCAGTAATATTACTCCACCTATTTTTTTCAGTACCAAACTTAAAAACCATTAAAATAGTCTTCTTCTTTTGTGTCAATCAAAATCCATGTAAAAAGTTACGGGTCTCTAGCTAGTAGGTTTGTTCACTAGGTACCTATATAAACTAGACTCTTTCTGTTGAGACTCATTCATTAAACAAAAAGTTAGACAATTCAGCTTTAACATCTGCAATAGTAATAAAAAGTTTTAAAATAAATTAGGACATAATAATAGTGTTCATATATCATGCAGATCAATGTGCTCTGGATTCATTGTTGGAGCAACTGGAGAACATTTAAAAGTGACAAGTCAAACAGAACTTTATAATCATTAGGCTGCAATAGTCAAATTCCTGCAAATGAAAAGTAATTAAGCAAAAAAATATCTAAAACGAATATCTGTCTTTGTGTCCTGGCAGTGTTGAAGTTAAAAATTAAAAGCAGTGCAGCAGGAGCTGAATACAAACCTTGAACCGAAAACGCCGCTGAGTTCATCCAGGACTGTGTTGAGTTTATTTTGCAGTTCTTTCAGTAGATCACTGGCCTCTGCGTCCAGCTGTCAGAGGGAGACAAAAAGCAGAGGATCATTAGGATTCTGCTCTGGTCGACATTGAACGGTGTAGCTGGGTCTGGGAGGGGGGCTACCCGGGGAGTGGATACGGGCACAGAGGAGCGTACCCAGCCTCAGTGGTAGCCTACCCCCCTTCGCTCTCTACCTGCCATCTGGACCGATCGCTGCGCAGAATACCAATGGACAGCTCACCTCCGAGTGCCACACATAATGAGTGCTTGCCGAGTCATGAGACACGGTGTCAGCGAAGCAGTGAGAGGCCAGTAGTTTTCAAATGGGAGGGCATTTGTTACACTGCTACAGCTAGTGCAGCAAGAGGATGCTGTCGGTCAGGCTTGACACTGTTAAAACGTTCAAATCGTGGATACAAATATTATAGCACTGTAATGTGCAGCGTGTGACGTACGTAAGTAGCATTCAAATGCCAACCAAATGGCAAAATGTTCACTTATGGCTTCCTCTGACGGGCTTTGAAGAACATGGAAGTGCGTAGGATGCTCATTTTGTGCCCAGAGAAGGACTAAACATGAGGAGGCAGCGATTCAGATTTATGCAGCAAAAGGGTTGAGTTGCCTGAACTGTGCAATACAAACAAAAATGTCTTGCCTTGCCTCTTGTGATTGTGATACATTTCCCCTTTATACATGAATGTTATAAAGGGGACAAAACATATAACCTTAACTTGCTTCTTACCATGTTTAAGTTACTTTATTTTGTCATTAACTCACACAAAATAGTTTTTGGCATGTAGGAGTTATTCATAAATGTAATATACGCAAGACGCCATTGCTCTCCTCTTAGTCCTCTGACCACCACCACCCAGCCCCTTCCCCAGGTTTTTACCTCGCTAATTTTCTATTACAACTTGGTCTACAATGGCTTGATATATTTAATACGATCACGTTTCATCGACATGTAAAGGCCTAAAGACTGAATGAGGAAGTGCTCGACTCATCTCTTTTAATGACATTGTTTTAGCTCAATATTAAGATTTCATTAGAACTAAATAATGTAATAAACAGCCAATCCCTACAGATTGGGATAAACGACAGAATCATGTTTTTTCTATCTGTACATCCTAATATCTGTATTCTTACTAGCAGCGATATAAAGTCGTATTGATGTTCCTTTATGTCGCTGTTTGTGTTACCGCATACACACAGGATGTTGGCCTTGTACAAATGTTCAAATATTGATGGGTGGAGAACACACGTAGCTCAAGTGCGGTGGTGCCTGAGATGGATGTGTGAGGCCCGGCAGAGCACCACATGCATGACAGATCATCACATTAGTCCCGATAAGCTTAGCCATGGAGAAGCTCATCTCACACACTCTAATGGTGGATGGCTCAGCTGGGAAGCGGGTGTATAAACTAAACCTTTTATGGACATTGTTATTTCCCAGACATGCCTTTATTTCCAACATGGATGTGGGAAATTGTGTGTCCACATGCGCACATCCTCTTGCTACTGCTGTCACTTAAATAGATGTGATAGAACAGTTCATGTTGTTGCTGCCCTTGTTTTTTTTTCAGCGTTAATAATGGATAGTGCAGAAGAAAATGTGTGCAATACTCTTTTATCGGTCGTCCGTACCCTACCGGCTATTTACTGTAAATCTGTTATGTTGACAGAAAACATCAAATATTCCCTTTTGCAAATGTCATACGCCGATAAGGTCTTTCATTAGAAAGAAATACTATGCTCAGAATGAACCTTGTGTAGATGAAAGCAAATGCTATCGGAGAGACCTTGGATTTACATTTGAGCTATGAAGGCAACTGAAAGCTGCAAGAACTGGTAGCATTTCATTTTTCTCATTTTTTAGATTTTTGCCATAAAATGTGTTCACTGCTGTCTCAATTCTAAAATGTCAATATCAAAGGTATAATGGATCTTCAGAGGCACAGGTGTTATTATGGGGATATAGATTTCACTTCAGAGCTAAATAAGAGGAAAGCTCTGTTCTTATTTCTACTGTAAAAGTGCGGATCAAACTGAGAATCTTATTTCATTTTACTTATAATGCAAATGTTACAATAATGCAATTTTTTAAATTAGTGGTATGGAGGGATTTTAGATTAACTTTTCTGTGAATCTAAAATGCCTTAAATGGTTAATGAATAATAGTTTATAAATACCAAAAAAAGCAAAATCTTGCCAAAAGAGGCACAATGATTAAAGGTAGAATTAAGTCAATCCAATGTTCTGAGCGGGTCAGCTCACATATCAACAAATTTGGATATAATCATTGCTAATCTTTTGTTATTAAACATTGGTAATTACTTTAGATCTCTGGGGGTCAACTGCTGATATGAAATTGTCTGCTGTGAATATAGTTTCTAGGGCAACAACTACCAGTACAGAAATGGACTAACTCTGGATATATATAGGGAAAACATAACATAAATTGTACATCAAGTATCAGGCCATATGTTGCATGACTTTGTTACAGACAAAAGAAACGCTGTGATGATCAAGCCTGAGGCAGCCACTTCATTTCTGACCAACCAAATTGGAGTATAGAAATGATACATTTGTCATGAATAGAAGTGGTAAAAAGCAAGTTTTTGGATGATTATAAATGATGCTTAGATGAGCCACTATCCTGGGAGAGGAGTGGTTGGTGAGTGGCTGTTCCAGGAGGCTGATGGGTTGCTCTGATTCCGTATGCTCAGTGGCACATGCGGCTGGAGGGAGGGGGGGATTGGAGGGGTGGCAGGGGCAGGCTGTGTGCTTTGATTTGTTACATTGACTATATGGAAAAAAGCAAAAAGGTGGTGCTGACGGATCCTATAATGAACACACCTTACAGAAGGACACAACACCCTCTTCCTGGAGACAGAGAGAGACAGAACAGAGGGGGGAGAAACAAATAAAAACGGGGACAGAGGTAAAGAACGCAAAAAAGCAAGACAGGCATTAGACATGCATGTGAGTCAGGTTCGACAGGGACAAGAACTCCACTAAAGAGAGCTGCAAGGGATTCACATGTACAGTAAGTATCACAAGAAAAGGGTTCAGGGCAGGGGTACAACAGATGTTATAGAGGAAAATGAGTAGGACACTGTCACACCCAATCAGATTAGTCCAGTGATCACAAACGTACACACTTAAGTCAATGTTCAGAGTTCATACAAATGTTCACACACACGACTACTTAATCTATTATTTAACTACGGTATGCACCTATGGAGTTTATAGGGCATCATAATAACCAGCAATACATTTTCTAACAACATAACATTTGTCCTAAAAACACACACACACATACAGGATACAGGATGTTATATCTCAGTTAATGAATTTTGTAATATTAAACCTGACTCTAACAACATAATCCTTTACTATGTCATTTTTGGAGTCAGAGATAATGCATAATAATAAAAGTATTGTACTGTGCAAATAAACAAATTACTAGGATGAACACGGTTTCAGATGTACAAAAACAGACAGTGATGACAATGTTCGGAGACTACTACTTGGAATGAACTAGCTGCTATTAGAGCTAGCTATAGACTATACAACTACTCTATGACATATGACCAGCATCAGTTCAACATTTCAGAAAAGGGAAAAACTAAAAACACAAAAAACCACACACAACATGGAATGGATATGTTTTGACTAATCCATATACGACTGAGAGCTTACACAAACTTATGGTATGGATATGTTTGATGATAATGTCCTTTGAAAATAAAGATACCTGTTTTCCCCCCATTGACTCAAACATCTTCTCCAGCTGGACTCGCAATTGCTGAATGTTGTTGAGAAGAATGCATGACTGTGGGGAAGATACATACGTACAAACAAACAAACAAACACAGACAAAACACACGTTATTTAGCAATAAAAAATGACAGCTTCTTTTTGCGACATTTAGAAATCATCTGTAAAACCCATTATAGTTTTTTGACACATCATCTATACCCAGAAGTGAGCTTTCCGTGGAGAGTTGACAGTCAGTTGGGAAACGCAATACATTAAACAACTGGGAGAGAAATGCTTGCACTGAATATGTCAGGCATTATCGATTCCCAGCAGCTCCACAACACAAGTGGAACAACCGGCGAACATTAATCACATCGAGGTCACAGCTAATTCTTAAACTTTTGCAAGAAGTTTCCTCTAATGCAAGCTAAATTATGTACCCCAAGTGTCACATTACCAGAGGGTAAATTAGGATTGGTATAATAGAAGATTATTTGCCCCTGAGGGAATGCAATGAGTGGTAGTAGTCAATTACCGACAAAGATGGAGAGCTCCACTAACAGCTTGTATAAGTTTATGCAAAGTGATATGACATGATTTGGTTTCAAACACTAGCTATATTTTTGAAAGTATGGGATAATACTTATATCTAAATAATGCTATATCAAAAAAATCAGGAATAGTGAAAAGGTGAAGCCCTTGACAACAACTAAAATCTACAACAGAAATAGATACATGAGAAAAATACCGATATGAAAGAAAAATTAGGTGGGAAGCCAGGTCTCTGTATAGAATGTGTTCTGGATTGCTACATGAGATGATCTTCATGTAGAAATTCTGCAACTGTGCCACCTAAAGAGTTAATTCAAGTTCACAAACATAGAAAAACTCAAATATATATCTGTATTTAATCATCTTATGCAAGTAACTGTTAAAAGTGCCTTGAGGCTCAGCTTGATGCTTTGGTACCAGTGCACAATCCATTTCCCATCAGATGTCTGCAGAAAAGGACATTTCTTGTTTTCTCCCGGACAGTTGTAATGAGCCTGTCAACATAGAGGAGAAACATCTGCCTCCAGTGCTGCACATTCTTTATCTCTCACTTCTTTACTTCTGAGCCCGGTGCTGTAATTAGGCCATGCCCGGGGCTTAGTGTGTAGCCATCCGTCACATTAAACAATGGACAGAGAGCCTTGAAAATACCAATGGCTTTTTCTCGTCAGCTGCTTACGGAGAACTGAATAATTGCGCAGCGTTAATAGAGACACTTTTCTGTGTGAATTACAGAGCTCAATAGAGACTTGACTGGAACTTCCCGAGTTACCATGCCAACCACAGATGCATTACAGCAGTACATACACTGCATTACAGTGGGGGTCGAAAGATGATTTCCAATAAAAAATTAAAAAATAAAAATAAAAAAATGGAACAAATATATAGCCCTTAAATATTTATTTTGCATTTGATTTGATTCAAAATGACTAATTGTTAAATTGTGTTTGGAGAAGAATCTGAAAAAACGAAACAAAAATGTAATTGGTAATTTTGTCCCAGACATTGACAGCGTCAATCAAAATCAAGTTACGCAGCTTACATCATGCGCAGCGACAATGTCTGTCCTGCTGTTGTTATGCGCATTTATCATGGGGGTTGCGGGATAAAAACTTTGGGAACCCCTGCATTACATAATACACGCCAATCGCTTGCAACATAAGTTACACAGGGAAACTTTGTGTGTGGGCACTTACCACATTTTCCTTGCTCAAATACAAGTGGAAGTCTTTGGATATGATCGCAGCATACTCCAGAAGAACTTTGTTGATAGTCTGTACAAAAACAAAAAAATACAAAAACATACCTTATAATGTGGTATCACCATGGATCTATAATAATAACTGGAAAGGGTATTACTAGCTTATAGCTGTCCCACCTATGGGCACAGGGGGAGCTTGTGGTGCTGCAGACAAAATTCACGTGGGCTACCCAGAAAAAAGTCCCATAGAACTCAATGTAAACTAAAACAGCTCAACCTCAGCTCACAGAGAACCTACAGCTTTCATAAAGATCGGATTTTGTGGGGATTTTAGAGTCCCTTGTCATCCTGAACTTTTTTTCTTTAAATCCAGACTCTACTGCCACAAACTCTGCTTCCTTCCTTCCCGCTCTGACTCCGCTCTATCACTGCTCTGATCAGCAGCTCTGATCGGTCAGAGTGCGGCCGAGCTCCTCTGTGCACGTGCATTAGAACCACAACGCAACGCATCATGGGAGATAATCCACTGCGCAGAACCGGGAGGACCAGACGATGCCCAAATATAGCCAAGTTCCGCTTATATGTCAGCGCCCGCAAAGTCCCATGCACTACTGAGCACAAGCCATTCATTTGAATAGGGCACCATCTTGGATCACCGGGGCTTGGGTATCAACTAATATGTGAAAAAAGTTCTGATTGCTCTTTTTTGGACTGAAAACGTTCCCATTTAACTGCATGCATCCAGCTTTTTAAATTAAACACTGGTGATTAAGATGCACACATACACTCAAGGCCACCATGTTGAAATTAAGTTGAGCTAATTTTGCGCAGGTTTCCCCCAAGTGTTCCGGTAGGTATTCTTGAACTACATTTGGTGTAACTACAAACAAGCTATTCATGAGTCCCATTCAAATAAATAAATAAATAAATGAATAAAGACTCAAAAACTGATGACTTGAGTGTTTGAGCAGTTCCTAATGAGTTGAAAAGAAAATAATGCATGCATGTTAGATCGATGCTAACATCTTTAGCTGCTGACTTATTGGTCTCTCTAGGGCTATTTAAAGAATCTGACCTTGGCAAAGCGGCACATGAAATGAGCCAAAGCCTGTGGGTTTGGACACTCCAGTTTCTTGATAATCTCAAAGCTCTGGTTGAGTTGAGTGAACACGTCCACCACTGAGCAGGAAAACAGGGCGTGATCGGATGTTTGCTGGAACTATACAGAAAAGAAGAGTCAAAGACATGTAAAGGTTTACTATGTAATGTTTCACATGGTAAACAGCAAATGTTACTTCAAATCAGCAGATGCCAATAATAGTGTGCTTGTGTGTTGTGTGAATACTGTGGCACCTGCTGAGTTAACAGCACTAATAACAGCCCTTCATCAATGAATCCAACATGGAGTCCACTTGAGAATATATACACTCCTAATGACATTGATAGACAGCAGGCACTGGTAATAGACCCTTGGAGCTCTATTTAATTATACACATTAAGCAGCAGTGAGAGGAGAAGTTATCAAGTGATTTTAAAATCCCTAGGAGGACACCTAGTACTGTGCACTATTAATTAATCACTCATGTTTGATAATCCTTTACAATTATACAAAAAACATGTTCCTTAAAACATTAAAGAGTACAAGTACAAGGAACATGTGGAAGTCCTATTTGTTGTGCTTAATCCACCATTCTGTCATAATTTCCTAAAGTGGCTATCAAAGCTCAGTCTTCCATCTCCTTGTTAATGCCTAAATTGTTATTCCAGTCACTGTCTTCGGGTTGGGATGTTTTTCGCAGTGCTACATTTCTCTGTCTTTTAAGTCTAGAGGTGGATTTCTCTTTGTAAATGCTGCCCTTGTAATGTGATAAATCAACCATAAGTGGCTGGGTTGAATAAATATAAAGTTGGATATTTTAGGCCATAATTATGTGTTGCGCATACCCCATCCTTCTTGTCCCTTCCCAGTGCACCGTTCAGAAAATCCATGGAAACGTCCTCATTCTCATCCAGCCATTGAATTACAAATGGCTCGAACCAACTGAAATAAAAAAGCTCATTAGGCAAGGTGCTATTTTAGCATTCATTACACGTGATCTTACAAAAGACAAGGCCATAATTTTTGTTTAATAACAAGTTCAATGTCAATGTTTGCAGATAAGAGAGAAAAGCTATGGAAGTCTGGTTGAGCCAAGGCTTTTAGCTCAGGTTTCAGTTCGTCGACAAAGTAGAGGCAGACAGAGGACACAAGAGGACGAAGCGTGCTGGGGACAGATGAGTTGAGTAAAGGAGTAGATTTGTTGGAAGAATAATAATGCCATTCTGTCTATTTGACTTAGCCATTTTCTTGTTTAATATGGTCCCTTGAGGTTGTCCTCAAAGCAACAAATGTCCCTTCGCAGCGGTGCTGTGCCCTGCCGGGGGCATCTCTGTAGAAGTGGAAGCCAATAAATAATATGGGTGTGGCAAAAGTGAAGTGGGGACAGAGAAAAAACAGCAGTGTATGTGGGTGTTTGTTTATGAATGTGTGTGTGTGGGCCTGGACAAAACAATGCTGATGGAGATGATGAGTGGCAGAGCCAGAACAGGGGTTGGGGACTCATTACTCTGATAGACTGGCAGCATGAGATGAGCCAATTCCCCACCTGCATTATCTGCATGTGTCTGTGCCCTGCTTTGCATTGATGCACACAATTACATAAAATGATATGGGAAAAGTGAAATAAGAGACTAAACCAAGGCTTTATATGTTTGTAATATACTTTAGCTCTAGTTAACACAAAAAAACCCTTCAAAACACAATCACAACAGCAGTCGTCACAGGGGACTTTACAACGTTGTCAATTCGCCAACAACAGACCAGAGAATCAAACAGTTCAAACACAGGAAATACTATAACAAGAAACTCATAGGAGACATTGGGCCACAAGAAGCTGGATCACCGATGCACATAAATGTAAATACATGCCCACAAATGTCCTTAAATTCTGATGAATGAATGAACTGATGAATGGGTAACAGTGAAGGAGGGAGAATTGAAAAACAAAATCACAGTACCACAATCGTCACAGTAATAATCAGATGCTCATTCAAACGTAGTGTGTGTGTGTGTGTGCGTGCATCATTTTATGTTAATACTATGGCAACTATATGTGGTGTAAATGATGTGTAATTTGGTGTCTCTGTATATTGCAATATTGTAATCACAACCAATTCCCAGATTGGCAAAAACAAACAGAAGGAAAACAAAAAGAAAATCAGCACTGGCCACTTGTAATTTGGTATTCACACCACTGTCTGCTACCTCACCTCACTATTCTCATTAAAGTTTATTGAGGCTTGATTCTTACATAAGGACACATAGATGACATTGGCAATCTCTTGTCTGCTGAAAACTGGTGATAATTAACCCTCTATGGCATACTGTTGCCCTCGGGCAACAATCCAATCTTTTGGCTCTTACACTGGCCCTTTAATGTTTTTTTTTTTTTATTTTATTTATAAAATTACTAGACATGTTTCTGTCCCATTAAATCAAGTTCTGAAGTGGGTGGGGGCAATTGTCTGGGGGTGGAGCAGTCCTTTCAGGAAGCAGAGTCACAAGTGACACAGTGCCAGAAAAAGGTAGGATAAATATAACTTTTCTACATGTTTAAATTAAAAAAACTTGATAAAATAAATATGTGACTGTGCATGAATATGTTAAGAAGCATATTTGATTGTTAATATATGTTTTTTGTTTCCATTTATATACAAAAACTGCACGTTTAGGTTTGTTGCCTCAAGGCAACATCATGCAGTTGTAGCACTTTTGTTTGGGCAGTGTAATGCTGCTGGTTGGGGATGTGCTTGAATGGATAATCAACACCACACTCAATGTTTTTTGCTGTTCTATCTTCCATTCTGATCTATCTACTATTGCTTGTAGGAAATGGATGCAATAACGTTTTACGGGTCCAAGAATGAAGGAGTTAGGGACATTCCAATCGATAGTCCTGGTCTCAGGTCTCTGTCCTGAAGTCCTCTCACATTAGTCCTGGCCTCAGGTCTCTGTCCTAAAGTCCTCTCACATTAGTCCTGGTCTCAGGTCTCTGTCCTGAAGTCCTCTCACATTAGTCCTGGTCTCAGGTCTCTGTCCTGAAGTCCTCTCACATTAGTCCTGGTCTCAGGTCTCTGTCCTGAAGTCCTCTCACATTAGTCCTGGTCTCAGGTCTCTGTCCTGAAGTCCTCTCACATTAGTCCTGGTCTCAGGTCTCTGTCCTGAAGTCCTCTCACATTAGTCCTGGTCTCAGGTCTCTGTCCTGAAGTCCTCTCACATTAGTCCAGGTCTCAGGTCTCTGTCCTGAAGTCCTCTCACATTAGTCCTGGTCTCAGGTCTCTGTCCTGAAGTCCTCTCACATTAGTCCTGGTCTCAGGTCTCTGTCCTGAAGTCCTCTCACATTAGTCCTGGTCTCAGGTCTCTGTCCTGAAGTCCTCTCACATTAGTCCTGGTCTCAGGTCTCTGTCCTGAAGTCCTCTCACATTAGTCCTGGTCTCAGGTCTCTGTCCTGAAGTCCTCTCACATTAGTCCTGGTCTCAGGTCTCTGTCCTGAAGTCCTCTCACATTAGTCCAGGTCTCAGGTCTCTGTCTTGGCTGTGAAACATCTATGTTTCACAGCCACTAGCAACTGCTTCTTGCTGTTCCATACACAATAGGCTACCGAGACCCGCAGCTGTGTGACTTACTAGAGGCTCAGAACTGTTTTTGCTTTTGTTTTTGCAATCTGGAGTGCTCTGTACCCGTTTAAAAAAGTTGATCTTGAAAAATAAAAGAATAAAAGCTTCTCTAATGTATTTGTTTTATTATTTTCCTAATTCAATGTAATATTGCAAACCTTGGTGTTTTAGTACCCTCGTCGCACAATGTTGCCCTTAAGCAACAAACCATTATCTGATTGGGGGGGTGGGGGGGGGGGGGTCAAATGTAAAAATCAATGTTATTAGGGACCCACAAGCTCTTAAAAAGTGTGTTGAAATATTTTTTTACCCCTAAAATAAAAAGTCATGCCATAGAGGGTTAAGAAGATTGTAGAGTGTAAGAATATAAATGAAAGGACACTTACAGGGAGTATTCGGGTGGGACACCTTTGAAAGCTGGCAGGTCACGGACATACTCGTTATAGAACCATTTGACTTTGAAGTGAAGATTCATGTATTCAGTACTTTTGCATAGACGGTGCTTGTCATGTTCTGCAAATCAGAAAACATAAGACCAGACTTGGTGAGCAAAGATTCTACACATATCACAGATAAATCAAAGCAAAGTTGTATCATTCAATTGTTCATTCAAGGGGCTAAGACAATACATTAAAATTGAGCTAGTCAAAACAAAGCCAGTGGATTTAGTTGTGATTCAACACATGTGACTGCTGAGTCATGACGTCAAGCTCTTGGTAGACATATCAGAACAATTAAGCATTTCCATAGCAGGCCCTGGGGTGAAAGAACATCATATGAAGAAGGAACGAGGGCAGAAGAAAACATGTGAAGCAATGAGGCAGAATAGTGAAAAGAGAAAGAGCTTATGGCAATGATGTTAAAACAATTTTGGTAATACTCATTAGTGCTTTTTAAAAACCAAGAACATGCTTTTTCAAAGAGCTATCATTAAAGTCCTCAACTGCCTGATAAATGGGGGAAGGGAAAAATGAAATCAGTGCATAAAGATGCCCACATGATTACAAAAGCAAAAACGCATGGACTCATCACAAAGGCTTAAAGCATCAACACTGAGCCGCCAGTGTGTGGGAGGCCAATCTTAAAGTGTAGGTTCTCTGTCTCATATTGCTCGCCATACCATACCTGCTAAACAACATGGGATTAAAAAGCATGAAAAATGCAGTGAAAAGGTGGATTTTCTGGATGAAAAAAATTGTACACACTCTACCTCTGTATAATTTTACATACCACATCAAAGAGTTTATAATCCACTCCACACAGCACTGAGCTGTCGGGACTTACGCTAAGAACCTTGGGTACTTACTGCAAATCAAGTGCCTTTATTTTAAGGTGAGCACTGAGGGAAAATGTTTGAAATGTGCCATTAATGTGTGTAATGTTGACCTGTTAATCACATGTGTCAAACTCTGATCTCTAACGTATTATCCTCAAAACAGAGTGCTTAGGCAAAAGAGATCCTTTCAGCATCTTTCCACACAGTCAAAAATATTTCTTCAGCTGAATTTGTCTGTTGATTGTCAACTCTAAAATTTGAAGTCAAGAAAACATGGCTTAAGAGAGGTGGAAATGGAAATGCTAGAAGTCCTTAAACTTTGATTGCAATTATTACCAATCAAGACAAACCCATAATGGGCTTCCTGGGTGAGGACTGTCTGCTGAAACCGCAAAACAAAGAGAAAATCAAAATGCTGTAGAAAAGAAAAGGTCTGCTCGAGGCAGACCTCGAGCAGTACTCGCGCATCAATGATGATATTATTATTGGGCTGGAAACATAACACTGTTCATACACCAGTGGCACAGCTGGGGCTACAGGCGGACATCCACTTGATATAACAGTTCTTGAAAATCTTCGCAAAGAAAGGTGCCACCTCCTTTTATGCAGGAATCAAAGTGAAAAGCCAAAAATCTTTATGCGCATTGTAAACAGAAAGCATAAACCTTCTTTTGAAACAAAAGCAAAAACGTTGTGGGACAAATGTTAAGAGGTGGATGAGCATCTGAAAGCGCAGCACTTTTGGAAAATAAGCAGGATACAGGAAACGTGGATGAGCAAGTGCAGAGTGTTAGTGAAACTCCTGAGTTCAGAGAGGAAGCGAAAGAGCTTGTCATCCGAGAAATATCAGAGACGGATAAGTACAAGTGAAGTCATCAGAACAACAGAGCGCCGAGTTAACCCAGACTTCTATCATTCTGTTTGTGCCCGTGGAAATACACTATAATGCTTTACGATTGCTCTGGGGAGCTGAGACCAAAATAACTCGTGACAATCTATGTATCCATCTTTCTTTAAAACTATTTATATGCACAGATATCTCTAAATAGTAAAAATATTGTTACTGTATTCTTTTTTTTCTTTTTTTCAGTAAATGCATTTATCAGATTTTGAATAGATCATAGAGTATATTGAGCCATCTCTGAGACTTGGACAACAGATACACGTTTGGACTTCAAGGTCCATGCATAGATCCATTTAAACGGCAGTTGCAGATACAGCTTTCTTTTATATTTGATGACACTATAAATAGTCTATTGGAATAAACTATGAAGAAAAATATTTGTCTGTATTTTTTGAATGCCAACGGTCAAAAGAGCAACACAGATAATTGAAGGAATGTCTGCAAACAGAATTGAATTCAAACAATCATGGAAAACAGTGGATTCCAACATAAATCTATCAAATCCAAGTCATAATAAGAACACTGAAGAATTAATTAAAATCATGTACTGTAGAGCACAGGGTTCTCATGATATAAAACCTAATATATGACATGGTGCAACATTAATAAATAATATATATTAAATATAACATGAATTATTATGACCGTACTACTTATTCAGAACTTCTCATGACACATCATTCATTATCTTCATAAACTGTGGCAAACTGACTTCGCCATTGGTTCTCCCAACCACCAAGTTCTGTAAAAAGACATGACACCAGTTCCTGGTCACCTTCAAGCATTGTTCTTGAAGAGAGAAGATAAATACAAAGTGAGAGAAAAATGACTTTAGTATTTAAAATTACACATGTAAGAAATCAGTCTAATGTTTCTATTAGTGGTGTCAAGTTACAGAAAAGTCTGACAGGGGATTTAAAGCTAAGCAGCTTCAGCAATACAGTAATTCTGCACTTCAAACACTAATAATTGAGAATGTTGTCCATGATGGCTTGGGGAAGAATAAGTGAAATTTAATAAACAAATGTAATCCATGGTTTTCACAAAATTGCCTTTGTGTCTACCAACTGAGCTACTGTCGCCTACAATTGGCACAAATGTTTCAGAATAAACTAAATTAACTATCACATAATTAGAGTAGTGGAGTAAAACAAGTGGCATAGTTTTGCGAGTAATTGGCAAAGACGGTTGCTGAGTTTTGAGACTTAAGTCTGTGCTGGCAGTACGCTGTATAACAGAGTACACATAGAGTAACAGGAGACAGCAGATGGAGGTCAGAGCGGAGACAAGGACATCTCAGCAGGTGTTGGTGGGACAGAGCCGTTCTGCCGCTGCCGCTACATTCAAGGGGCGGCTTTCCTCCCTTGAATGTAAGGGCATCTGAAGAAGAATGTGGTAACTAGTACATGGTTTTATATTAAGTATTTATGGCTGAAAACCCACATTATATATGAGTTCTAAAGCACGTTTTCTAATCTACATACTCATTCATGTTGTTGCATAATGTGAACCAGTTTTTCCCAATATTTCTGCCACTGTCACCTACATACTACAAAAGGGCACAATAACAAGATACACATAGGAGACATTGGTACTTTCTTGATGGAATATGTGTTTGTAACTAATCTTTATCTGTTAAATAATATCATTCTATTTTCATGTGTTTCCATTATGTAAGAATTTTGACCAAATTGTTTCTTTTATTTAACTGTTTAGATGTTGACGCAATGAGTATATTGTTGCGCTAAACAAAAACTAGACCAAAATAAGAAAAGCCAGTTTTTTCAGACTGATAAACAATTTATTATTAGTAATTGTGTAATGGGTTCAATAAAATAAATTATAATATACTTCTTTCAGAGGAAATTGTTTATTGCTATCAATGTTTGAAAATAATTTCAAGTACCCTCTGTGGCCCCTTAGAGATCTGTGTACCCCATGTTGGGAAACACTGAATCTAAATTGTAGATCACAAAGTTAAAACCACACAATTTAAACTGCCGAGATTGTGCTTTAAATCGTACAGGTATGAAAACTTGGCACTTTGTGAAGGACATGTATGTGTGTGTTTATAAACAGTAGTTTAAGTGAGTCCCAGACAGCGATATGACGGAGTAGCCATGCTAGTTTTTGCTTGTGCAACTAATTTGTGAGAAAAATCCTGATAATTCACAAGCGATTATCTTTCATTTTACAGGGGAAACAAGCATGTACCTTGAACTTAATGCTTGTTTCTAATATCTGTGGGGAGGCGAGTCTTCCTAAAGTAAAAAAATTAATGAATAATATGCACTAAAATCATCCATATTTGAAGAATGTAAAAGTTTTAAACCAAACTGAGCAAAATTTAAAACAACGCAATAGCATGCCTATCACAGGAAGCAGTTATTTCACAATTTCACATAAAGTGGGTCAACAACAGGAGAGAGATTCAACACAAATAAAAAACTCCACTGCAACTTTGCTCTCTGTACTATATGTCAAAGTACATTCATTTCATTCCAGTCCCAAAGCTCTTCTGTTTTGATGTTGGCATTTTAATAGCTGCAGAGTGAACAAAAAGGTTATGCAAATTGAATGAAGAATATCAAATAAATATATATATATATATATATAAAGTATCATGCCACAGATGCGCATTAATTGTCTGTTCAACATAATTGTCTGTTCAACACAGCCAGCCAAGTCAGAGAAAATGTCGACCCAATGCTCAAGGATTAAAGGATTAGCTGACTTTCACGTTTAACCCTTTTACTGTGACACAAAACGTTTGCTCACTCTCAAATCACCATGGTTACGTTGATCTCACTGTACATGCAGCATCTAAACATTCCGACCAATCAATGCTCTTGAATAAAACCCTCACTAAGGCTCAATTCAAAGGACGGCATGGTGCCCCCAGAGGCTAAACCACATCGAAAGTAATTCCTGGTCGAACAGCCTCTTTATTCACAGGGTGGAATAACCTTTTGTCTTTAATAAATGTAATAAATGATATACAATAAATGGTTCCTTATTTGATACTAAGTAAATAAAAGGCTAGTTTATTTGTATAGCATAGTGTATACATTAATCATAATGCAGATACTTTCTTTTGGTTGTTGGCTAAACACCTTAGATGATTTTTTTTTTAACCTAGTCTTGAACCCTGTCAAGAATAGACGCCTGCCTCACATTCTCAGGTAGACTTTTCCGAATTTTTTTGTTGCATAAAATGTGGTTTTAATTTTGTGAGTTGAGAACTAGATTATGCAACATTGATAGTGTCACTATTTTTCAGATCATTCAACATACTATGTCAGAACTAGCCTGGTTGTACCACACCATAGTACAAATTACATTTAGTGCTAAGGTCTGGAGCTGCTCCATTGAGCTCCGTTAACAAGTGGGAGGGTTTAACTCCTTTTGAGATTGAAAGGATTGGATCTGAGTTTCCTGTGACGTATGTAAGGCGCCCGAGTAGCATTTAGCATTTAGCATAGCCATCTCCTTTGCCGCTGACGGAGCCTGTGGGGAGTAACGCAACATCTAGGCAAGGCAAGTTTATTTGTATAGCACAATTCATACACAAGGCAACTCAAAGTGCTGAACAAAATAAGAAAGCATTAAAATCATAAATGATCACAGACATTAAATATAAAATCCCCCAGTTCTATGCACAGCTAAACAGAACTGTTTTTAACCTGGTTTTAAACATTGTCAGAGAGGAGGCCTGTTTCACATCTTCAGGAAGATTGTTCCAGATTTTAGCAGCATGAATCTGAAAAGCACACCCGCCTCCCGCGCTCGCTGATTGGTCAGGTGGAATTCAACCGATTGTAATCGCAAACACAGGGACCAGAGCCAGACGTTACACGTCAGTGTTGTTATCACTGCTTGGGTGCAGGGAAAGTAGTGTTTTGGGACAAATCGGTTTAATGAATTGTGAAGAGTCAAAGTTTTCAAACAAGCCCATTTATGAAATTGGGCTTTAATGTTCTGTATGGCACTACAATCAGCGACGATTAGTAAAGTACTTTATCCTGAGTGATAATTAACACTATATAGAGTCTATATAGTGTTAATTATCACTCAGGATAAAGTACTTTACTAAGTACTATAAAAAAAGTACAATACTTTGCTGTGTCTATAATAGACACAGCAAAAATAAAATACTTTACATGATGTGTGACAAGGGTTACTTATTATGCCTAATTGGGTAAGCTGGAATGACGCTTGAGTCATAATAATGCTTCTGCGTTTGGGCTGGTGGTAAACAGTTGTCTTGGGGGAGAAGAGAGCTCAAGGTCCCTGGTGAGGATGTCATCTTGTATAACTAAGCCCACAGGGGCAGCCAGGCTCATGGGAGACTCATTCACTCTCTGCTTCATTAATTTCAGTGCTGTGTGAACGATGATGAACTATGAATCTTCACAACCACACTACTTCCTTTCAATCTCCAATTATCATCCAGGGGAAATATCTATTTGAGCTTTTGTGGTTAGACTGATTTCCCAAAGACAAAAGGCCTGAAGACTCAAAAGGCAGTCCTGATATTTTTTTCCTCAGTAACACAATTCCTCCATCTTGGCTTATGACCCAGTTCTGTCAAAGGGTAGTTCTTAAGCTGCATCACAAGGTCCCAATGACACAACCCACTATAACACCAGCGCCCACAGAGATGTTAAGTCCACTTGATGCAACTGTAATGCATAATGCTAAGGGACATGGTCAGCCTTGTGACGAACTAATGAGCTAACTATTGTTGCTACTTGAAGTAAGCCTCTCACCACAATGTACAGCCTACAATAACTTTTGTTTATTTTAGGTATTCAAATGATGGAATTAGATGATAAACCAAAATAACATAAATCAAATTAAAACTTAAATTAAAAAAAATCTCAAAATCAATGCAATTTATCATTAAACGTTAGTAAGAGGAATGCCCTTAAAAACAGATATTTGCCGCCATACAGCATCTTCAGAGTAAACAAACCCCAAACGTCGTAAAGAAATATTAATTGGAATTCAATTATAGAATTCTGTAAAGTGAGGCTGTTCCAAGAGACTGAAGGTAAGTTAATGGGCTGCCTGAGCATTGGATCTTTAATGACACGCTCTAGAGACCACAGCCATTAAACAGCCTATATGAGAGATATACAGTGCAGAGTATGAACTTCATTGCAATGCTAAAAGTGGATGCACAGTTTTTAATCTTATCAAGCGGTGCATTTTATTGTTGCGTATTCAAAGATTCCAACAGAGGAGCACTTACATCAGTTTCAGCTACTGTCTGGCCTGTTTCAGAACAGTAATTGTGGAATAAATAGATGTTTCAATGCCACTTTCATTCAATCATTCTCCCATTTCCCCACCCTTTTTTGTTTGGAATCTCTTGTTTCCCGTCCCACACATACACATGGAAGGCTAAAATTAGCAGTTTTCATTTCTACACCAGCAATGGCACCAAAGGCCTTCAAGCAAGAAGCAGAGGATGCATCAAAGACTTCATTAAGTAAGGCAGCTGCACACACACACACACAACATGCACGCACATACACAGTTCTTTTATTAATTCTCATTCACTTGTATTGTGCCCTGCACATGCCTGTACACTGCAGAGAGCTACACATAAACAAAACACACCAACAAAGTGGGACAGTGTCGGCGCCTCCTTCAGGGCGTCTGTCAAACAGCCCACTGTGGTTCCGCTTACGTAATAGAGGCACGCATTCCTTTAGATCAGACACTTTAGAAATCAAGCAACCCTGAATGCTCTTATATTCTCTGTACAGTATCCACAGTTTGTTCTGCATCAGGAGACAATATCGACTTATTCTCAACATTAAATAGGAAACTTAAGTGTTACTAAAGTATTACCAGTATTCAATTAAGCTATAGGTGGGCATGCACTCAGTGAGTGTATCTAGTCAAAGCTACACTAAAAAACATAAAATATAAATGCTTTAATACAAAAAGCTCCTTTAAGTAACGTCACAGCCATAGCACAGGGGCTTTCACTTGTGCTTTCTGTGACACTTGAGGCCAGGAGGCTGCACTGTGCGGAGGTATAGGAGCCAGTGCATCTCCTTTTGTCACAGACTTCCTCAGGCACATGCACACACAAATACACACACTCCAGCGCAGACTTGCTGTGACAGCCACTAACACCAAACATGCTCACATGGCCAGACATGCCTATACAGAAAGAACACAGCCTCCATTAGCTGGTACTTTTAGTTATGTTTACAATATAATGTTTTTTTTAGTTGGTCGACTCCAGTTCTAAACTAGAAATTCCCAAACAAATGATTTGATTAATTCATTGTTATGTTGTTTATTTGAGTTCAGTTATTGTGCATTTTAATCTAATATAACTTAAAATTAGTGTTTGTATCAATAATATTAAAAAATATAACGTAAAAGTTGTAAAACATTTTCTGGAAATGATCCTGTAACCCCCAGCCAGTGTCCTGTGACCCCTTTGGTGGTCCCTACCCTCACTTTGGAAACCACTGCCGTAGACCATGGTAAAATTTTATTTCAACTTTCACAAACTAGAATAAGTCATTTAATTAATAAAAACAATTGTTTATGTTTATTTCCTTCCACAGAGTCGGATACGTTGGGGCTCCTTGATTACATCTGGTTGCTATGGGTGTCAAACAAAGGGGAAGCCAAATACACCATTATAAAACTTCCTCCACATAACAGATAACTTGCCAGTTCCTCCCACCTGCTCCATAAGCTGTTGTTCTCACACTCGTCCTCTATTCAAGAAAGTTTCTGTCCCAGTTTGTGGGGGTCAGAGCATGACAAAAACTGCATTTCAAACGGCTTATATTGTATCCACGGATCCTTAATAAATAGTGTGCGATAGATTTTGAGCAAACGTAAGTAAGTAAATAAGTAAGAAATCTTTATTTATATAGAGCTGTTCACAGACCAGAGTCAAAGAAGCGCTTTACAATTGTGGGCATTTGTCTCTCACTTCACAGAGAGATGGGATCGAGCTTGGCATACAGGAGGCCCATGCCAGACCTATTGTACACGTTTTTAGTAGTTGGGGAAACTGGAGCACCCGGAAGAAACCTACGCAAACACAGGGAGAACATGCAAACTCCACTCAGTCAGGCCCCATTCCGACCGGGATTCGAACCCAGGACCTTTTGCTGAGAAGCAACAATGCAGTATCATCTCAGCCACAATGTGATCATTCAAAGTTGGTACTGCAACAATAACAATACCACTACTACTAATTACCCTTACCCATCATTTATACTTCAATCACAGTATACACACAACCGGGAGGGGGGGAGAGGGGTGTTAAACAACACTTCTCAAAAAAAAAATCTAATCAGGGACTACCTTAATGCCTTTAGGGAAGCAAATCAAGCCATGTGGGGGTTGGGGCCGAAGTCACCCCATCACATTTAAACGGATCATCTGTCGTATGGCGTTACAGCATATAAAAGATTTATAATCACTTTAATTTCTCACACATTAGTGGTCTTCGAAACACACTTAGGATAAATCAGGATTAATGCCTGCAGCGTTACTGACCTTCCATTGCATACTTCATGTCCAAGGCGAAGAGGTTCCATGTGATCTCAGAGCTGATCTTTCCGGCATTAAGCTCCTGTGGAAACCTAGAGGAAAAGCAGATGATCAGTCCGCCACTATGACACAGGATTGACCGCTCTCACGAAACATGTGACAACTTCTACTGACTACAAACCAGACATGCTTGCATCAAATAGTACTGCACTATTTCAGAAAAATCCGTTGTTTGGGTGTTTGTGTGCCAACAATGTAAATGGAGAAATGTTTTGTTTAGTTTAGTTGAGGACATTTATTTCAATTAGGGCCGTGTATTAATCAATGTGTCTGCTAACAGATTTAACATGAGTATGCTGGAATTATCTCAATAGCAACATTTCTCATCATTGTCCTAGGGCAGGTAAAAAGCACACTGTCAAAAGGCACATATAAAGAAAGTAAGAGGGTGGACACCTATTTGCCAAGTAATCTGCTATTTTGAATGACTATTGATTTTCAGTCAACGCTTGAGCGTGCGCTGTCAATGGTTTAATTATCTGTACCTACAGACAGTAATGGGAGGACATTTATAAATGACAGGGCTTTGAGCCCACTGAGGTCAATTTATCTGGAAATGTTCTGTTTTTGGCCAGAAAACACTTAAAACTGAAAAAGCATTGACTGACAGTTGTGTCTGCATACTAGAGAAGGTCAATGTTTTCACCTAATCACTGCAGGATTACACAAAAGATCTTCTTACTTAAAATAAAAACGTACTGATACATCTAATGGTTGAGGAGGTTTGGTCAAAAAGTGAATGGACCTATTGTACTATCCTAGCTTGTCTATCTAACAACTGTCTGGTATAGAATAAACAAATAACTTAAACTAAAGAACTAGTTAGCACTGTTTGTTACACTTGTTAAGGGGTGCAAAAAACAAGACCGTTAGGGTTATTCCAAGTGAGAATTTGCTTGGAAAATCTTGTTTGTGACAATCTCCACCCATAACAACACTGCATAAACTTGATCTAAGTATTGATTAAACCTGAAAGGCAAAAAATATGTGAATAAATTAAGCCCGATGACCGAAACGACATTACACCTGCTTGTTATGATATCATGATGTGAGCCGCTTTCACACCACTTCATATGAGATACTTTAAAAGAAGACAAAATATACATGTATGCCATCATCAGCATCAAATATTATTAGCTCAAAAACAATGTTAGACTTACATTAAAATAAAATGTCTGTACTGAATATAGCTAATCTTTTCCCAGGAGCAGTTTATCAGCACAATTTAGTTTGTTTCAATTCGTAAGGAACACAATAGACTGTGTTTTACTCAACAAAATGAAAATATCAGTGGGTTTTTGTAACCCAAACCTGACCAAGCGAGTGCGTTGGATATGGACATGAATATTGCAAATCTATCATTAGACAGAGGAGGAGGGAGAGCTCTCGGCATAAACAGAGCCTTAATAAGCATCGTAAATCAGCGAGAGGAGGAAGACTAGAGCGTAGAAGGGTAATGTTAGTTTGTGAGCGATACAAAAGCAAGAAAATATATCTTGCTTTTATGCCGTCTCTTCTGTTTACGTCATATAATTTGATTCTCATTATAGGAACCAAATGATGCAATCTGCAACAATTTTACCCTATTCTGTAATTCTATTCTTATTTAGCCACAATAACCACAATGTGAACGTCATACCAGATAAATGCATCCCAATTTGCCAATATGCACTGTTATAAGAATAAAGTCATTTCACCATAATATTTTCTCTATTTCCCATAAAACAAGAGGTACTTTTGTTAGGAACAACAAATTATGTCATAAAAATGAAAGACGCAGTTCATATTCATTTATTCTCTGTAGACTTGGCCCAATTAACCATTTTCCATTCCATTGCATATCTAAAAGCAAACTTTATGTATTTACGGAAGATGACATGGTTTACTCACTGGTTGATGACAGGGGTGTATGCAGTGCGGTCCTCATCGATCACAGACACCATGAGGGTTATCAGTTTGGGCCAGAAGTCCAGGTTCTTGATTGATGGTCCTTGCTCCTCACGGGGGATATCCTGCTTCCGGCTCTTTAGAGAGAAAATAGACATTGCACAATCAGGAAGGGAAAGTAAGACTAAATGAGTGTAACGCTTATTACTTGTCCCACAACACTGAATGTTGTGGGACAAGTTCTCAAAAATGTGCTCTTGACCACAAGCATACTTTGTTTACTCGGCATAAAGACAAATCAATCTTAAATGTGGTAGACAAATTAATCCATTTAAGGCCACATCAATGTTTTTTTAACCTTAAAATACAAATAAATTATTCAGGACGGGAACACATAGACCTCAGTATACATGTTCCCTATATATAAATTATATGTGTGTACAAATGTACAAATTCTGTATAGTGTAACAGTTTTACATACAGTATAACACTGTAAGATTTAATCATAAAAGAAGAGAACTGTCTGCATTAAGAACAGCTGGGACATCTCTTTAGCGCGTCACTGTGCATGCTCCTCGCTGACATCCCATAGTACACTGTGAATTAAAAGCACTGTCTGACTGTAGTGCTCTCCACAAGACAATCCTTCTCCTGTCAACGAGAGGCTGTCACTGCAATCCATTCTCTCCCTAACATGTTCTTCAGTATAACACTGGCTGGCAAGGAATCAGCTGCACTGACAGATCCCTATCATTAGACAGAAAAACAGACATTGTCAAATAGTATTCATGAAAAAGTACAGTTTGAGAGCACACTACCAATAAGGATTCTTCTTTCGGCTTTCTTAGACGGATATGAGGGTTTAGGGAATGACAAATGTGTTTTTTTCATGACCTTTTGGATTAAGAGAAATTAAAGGCCACAGTATCTTCTAATATTTTAAATGTATTCTACATTGACATTGTTAGAAACATGTAAAACATTATTATTACATAGCAAATTGTATTATAATTGGATTATGGTTGTTCAACAAGTAAACATTAGACAAATAGATAGATAGATAGATATTGCGTCTACATGCACACAGTGGGAGTAATCAGACGTTGCCTGGAGAACAGAGATCATATGCTTCATTCCTCTCATCCCTGTGATGCAGGATTAGTAAGGCTAGATTAGTATAGCGTATTCTAATGATCTAAAGAGAGGCTGACTCCTATTTACATATGCAGAGGCTGGCTAAGATGCAGTAGGACAGTAAAGGTTGTGCCGTGCCCACTGACATGGTTGCTGTACCAGCAATAAAAGCTAATGCTGAATCCCTTTGCTCATTTGTATTCCCCTCAAGCCTGAACAAACACATTGTTAAAGGTGATTAAGTAGTCTGGCATCCTTTTACAGTCAACAACACACTCATGGGCTTTGCTCTCAATAGGACGGGCTCCTCATCCTAAATAAAGAACACTAAAGTATGGGAGCTTAACGTGCACAAGGCAGTGTGGGCACTAATTCGGTAAAATATAACTCCTCCAGGGGTTTGCAGTTTGTTTTGGTCTTTTGGCATATCCGATATCTAAACTGCTTAAGAGAAAAGGGACACTAACTGTAAATCTGATTATTAATTTGTTTTAAATAAATCTATAAATAATAATATATTCACCAAACTGATTCGTGGCAAGTAGTTCATTTGAAATGATGAATACCAATTGTGCTTACTTGTATCATATGCGTATTTACTACTATGTGAACTTAGAACTAAGAATAAACAAGTGATAGAGTGAAAAGCAGTGGCAGGCCATTCACATACGGTCCCACCTGCTCCGACTGGCAGGAGGGCATTGATTTTACAAGCTGCAGGTGGATGTGAGGAATTGTTTGGGGCTTAGGAGGCCAGACCAATCATTGCACAGCAAGTAACAGGAGCCAACCAGGGCGGGACACAAAAGACAGGCCACTAATAATATATGCAAAAGTTTTGACTTCAAACGCTTTTAATGTGAACAGTAACGCAATGGAAGATGAGAAGATCTTCAACATTCATTTGGTTAAAGGTGAGACACACAATGTATACAAATACAAATCATCTCAAGTCTCAATTTCAATTCCAACATTTTCAAAGCTGTTGGGTTGATTTCATCCCAGGAATGTGCAGCTGCATACACCACATAATCAACAGCCCAGGATCAATGTCAAAGTTCTCTATAATGCTCCTCTACCTGAAAAAAATCACTTCTTTAAATGTTGTATGCCTGACTTTTTAATGTGTCCTCTTACAATAAAATATTATAATGTGATTTAATGCAGTGTCTCTCTTGGTGTTAAGCACATTGGGCTACAGTTCTTGTATGATTTGTGTTTTACTTTATTTTGCTTATGGTGATCTTCCAATTGATGGTCCCGTCATCATAAATCTCAATAGCACTAGTGCCAATTATATACAGTAATGGGAAGCAATTAAAATGACAATTCACGGATGCATGATTTGTTAGTCATTACGATTAACACAGATTTTCAGTATCTGTAGCATTCATTTTCATCCCCTCCATCAGACCTGGTTCAGACCTGGTTTGGAGCACAGCATTATCTTATGAACATGTTGGAAACGCATAGCTTTTAGTTGTTTTCAAAAATCATTTGACTCGTGCATAAAACTCAGTGTGTAGCTGCCAGATGGCTGTCTGATGGTAACGATAAGGAGGCGTGCTGACATCTCTGCATTCTCACGTGATGCCTCTGCTCTAGCTGCGGAAGTTGAAACACTGTTCACAACCCGATTCACTACTTGCGCCAAACCATAATGCTGGTAGCGAAGTGTATACTGTCTATGGGTGTAGTTGATAGATTCATCAAAATTGCAACCTGATACTAACATTGTACAAGAGCTCTACAGCACACACACACACACTCCTGTGCAATGGCAATCTCCTTTTCTGCCAATATTTCAATATTGAAATAAGTATATATTTCCGTCTTGTGCTCCTGTTGGCTGCTTTGGCCACAGTGATTTCACAGAGAAGACAGAGGCACAGACTTCGGTGTTGTGTTATGCTGAGACACAATATTTCACCGGCTGCTTGGCTATGGTGTGTCATCCTTCGTGTCGGCTTGCTCACTCTCTGTTAGCAGCTACCTCATACAGCACATATGCTGAACCTCATACCCGTCAGTATGTGTGAAACCAATACATTATTCAGTCCAGTTTATGTCCTTGTCTTTTGTGCAGAAAACAGTGATGAATTCAGGAAATGTTAGATGATGCCATAATTAGTGTATGTGTCTATCTCAAGGCCTTGGTAATTGCTTACAACCCTTAAGGCTATTTAGACAAAGCAAGCCTATAATTCAACATTTGAGTAGATTGCACCCTATTATAAGCTAAAACACATTATCTTCTGTAGCGTGAAGCCCATTTTCTTTGGGTAGAAGAGCGTATAATAATCAGGCCTAGCTCCCAGCAGGTAGTATACTCAGGTGAGATTCAAACATTAGGATATAAGCCACATCTTATTTTGGACGCTCTCGGAAAAGTAATTCATCATCTCATATATCTCAAACAAACAACTTTAAAATGGAAATTTAAGAATACATGTAGTTTATAAAGCTTTTCTTAACTAAATGTACATGACTGTGATTCAATTGAATTGAGTTTCATATAAGAATTATGAATGTATTTGTTAGGAAAATGGTTTAATATGAAACCCTAGAATTTCATATATACCAGTCACATCTTACTGGTATTTTGTTTATTACTGTGTATGGCACTGTTACTTCTGTTAGATACATAATTGATACCTTAAGACATTATTACATTATCATATGCTGTGCTTTTATAATAATAGGCTAAAGAAAAAAAATAATTATAGCTTGACCTCCGCAACCTTTTGCTCTAAAGCACAGCTCATCATATGGCCACTGGGAATACCCCAATGCAAACTTCCCAATTGACACAGAGTAAATTGTCACTGCCTAGTAAATGTCACCCACAATATATAGCATATTGATTTCTAGCCACACCACACTGGATTTATATATTCCCAGTATTGTTGTACATATACAGTATATGGGGAACATACTGAAACTGAAACTGCAACCATCATGCAGGCTTTATGACACACTGAAAGAGAAGTATGTGACAGATTGAAAAAAGCTTTAAGTACCTCTTTAGGTTGGATTGTAGCTACTACTGTCCAGTTCAGTTTTGCAGTTGGAACTGTGGCCATTCTAAACAGCTAAAAAAAGTTCTGCCTTTGATGTAGTCAACCATATCTAAGTTCCTTCATCCCCTGCATTGAGGGATATGGAAGTACTGTGCTATCATTTGGACATGAGTGTTATTTTAGTTTGTTTTATTTAACCTTTATTTAACCAGGAAAGTCCTATTGAGATTAAGAACCTCTTTTTCTTGGGAGTCCTGGACAGTGTACAGAAAATGAATGAATCTATTTGCACTTTACAATTATTATATTGTAATCAACATATTCAACATTGTAGAGACATAATTAGCAAGACATACTGTTTGAAAAAGCAGAATCACAGAAGGTAACACACATTTGTGAAATATGCAACTCATATTTGATATAATACATAAAAAACATATAAGAAAATAATTGTTGTAGTTGCCAGAATAGCACATAACTATTTAGATGTATTGCACTTGAAACACACTATGAATACTCCGAAACTCTGGGGATGCCACTTGATTTCACTAAGTGAGGCCAACATCTCTTCATTTACTGCAGAGCTGCAACAGTTTATTCTTCTTCAAAAACAGCCGGTGGAAGAAAACTCTCTCCTATAGGACTACACATCAAAGTCTTGAGCTCGACAACAGTCAATTTCAAGTGAAAGGGTCATTCTGCATGACATAAGCTATAAAGCTTTTAGGCTAAGTGCTTTTCTTCATGTCAAGTACAAAGAGGATAAAGCCAACCTGAAATGAGCCGAAAGACGTGAGGTGAGTAAGACCAGAGAGAATTGGTAAAGTGGTTTACCTGGTCCAGCAACTGGTTGTATAGTTCGTGGCAGTTATCAAAAATGTATTTGTATGTGGAATCCAGGCAGGCTTTGACGCAGTCCTTCACAACCATGCTGGCTCTTGGTGGACTCTGCAGCTCTTGTACCTAACAAACACACACAATATATCACATTTTCAAGAAGACTGTTGCAGATTTTAGCACATACATTACATGCAGCCTCATCATGTGCCCCATAGTAAAACTACTTTTAATGTTAATTATGTGAGAGTAAGCAGAAATATTTTAAACAGTGTGTTGTATTTGCATCTTCTAATTTTATCAGATAAGATTGATCTCTGTTTAAAAAGTGCATTGGTCCTGTCACTTGAGTGGCACTGGTGAGGCAATGCTGGGACAAAAGGGTTTCACTGAATTATTTTCCTCCATATGGGTTAAAAAGTCAGTTAATAAATAGGACACTTCTGCCATGCTCTCTGCAGCTGCTCAATGCAGAGGAGCCAGGGGGGCGCAACCTCAGACCAAGACCTTTCAGAGCGTGAAAGAGCAGCCAGAAGATATTCCTTAAACAGTTCCTGAATCCAAGGGCGTAGGTTTGCGTGGGGACCATGGGGACATGTCCCCACCAATATTTGGTGAGGACTAAAAAGTCCCCACCAAAATGACATGATGTGCCGTGACCCGGACGGTCCGGGACACATGTCTTCCGTTTGTGCACACGTCGCGCCTCCTCCTCGCCTCCAGAGCAACAGCAGCAGCAGCAGCACGTGACCCGTTCCGTTCTCTGCAGTGATTGGCTGTCTTCTTCAGCGCCAAACTGAAGCACTGAGCAACTGTTTAATTTTTAAAAGTTAGCCAGCGTGAAGCAAGTGTTTTTTTTTGTTCCCTGAGCGTTGTAGCACGTGAGTAATCAGAGGAAAGTACTGTAGATCTATTACCATTCAAAGTACTTACGTTATTTCTAATCTGTCAGCGCACTGTTTAATGTCCCGAGGAGCTCACACGGCACAGAGACAGAACAGAACTGGCTCCAATAAAGAAACAGGTTGGTTGAAAGGCTGAAAAAATACTTATTGTGCTCTTACTATCCAAAATGTATAAGTGGGTGTGTTGTGTGAATCAGGATAAACTAGTGATGAAAATATTCCACGGATCCACGATTTACAACCTTTATCTGCTGATAATGTAATTTCTGTGAAATGTGTGACAGCGGGCACTTGCTGCTATTTGCTCTAAGCACATTCAAGCGATGCACTCGAATGTGCACGTCCTGGTGCAGCTGCTGCCGCTTTGTAATGACAGCCGCGGCGCTCAGTGAAAGCACAGCTCTAACATGGTACCGAGCTCGGACCATATGCAGACAGAACCATGATGCAAGTGCGGGTCTCCCTCGTATCTCCCCCGTTTCTCCCCTGTGTCTCTGACATGTCTCTCCCCTGACTCTTCCCAAAGCGCAACCAGCGCTCCCGAAATTAAAGCTCGGATACCTACATTTTCCATTGCGTTAACGATGCATGCTGGTTGTGCGCAAAACACACCACAACAGGTCATTTAAGTTTTTATTTTGAATACTTGAGAACCCTGTGAGTCATTACTTGCCTTTTTGGGTAGAGAGTGGAATAAAAAAAAGAAATATAGAAAAATCCACACTGTTACTTATTGCCAAACTCTTGTTAACTCATTGTATTGAGAAATACTATGTAACTTTTGACATTGGCCAAGTTATATAAATGATTCTGCAGTTCATGTATATGAATGTTTGTTTTTGATTGTCTATACCTTCTTATATAATTTAGAAAAAATGCCACCTCCACAAAAAAAGATAAAAGATATCAGGAGCTTTTTTAACAGTTGGAAAGTAAGTAAGAGAAAGCACAAGTAATAGCAAATTATGAATTGTGATGATTAATCTTCTGTTAACATACATAGGAAACTCAACCAACAAGAGAGAACAATATAGGGAATGTTGAGGTAGAAGCAACAGGCCCTTCAGTGCATCAGGTGAGGTTGGAATTTTGTAGGTATGCATGGGACTATGAATTGTTTTTAGAGATTGATCGTATATGTCAAACAATGTAGTGAGATACTCACTGTAGATTCTAATTCAATATTTTCTCCTCTGTTTTTATTTATTATAGGAAAGATCAGAGCATGATTTATTTCAAGTATCGAGAGCAGTTCCTGAACTGTTAGAGCCTCAGGTGAGGGCTATTATGTAGATTTGGATTAGGTTTAAGTCAGTATAGAATCATACTAAAGTTAAAGAACATCATTTGGTTGGAAATTACCTATGCCAATTACAACATATTTTACTACTATAATGATGCAAAAAGTGTTGTCTGAAATCTTTTACTAAATATAGGACACTCTGAGAGATATAATGGAAATTCAAGAAGGAGATAAAGACAAGGACAAGACAGGACTCCAGGTGAGGTTAGGGTTAAGCAGTTAAAATCTTAGACCCATCAACCAATCCTAGTTTCATGAGATATTTAGCGACTGGTGTACCATGCCTAGGTTTCATTTTATTCAATGTAGAATGTGTGTTTTTATTAATACCATAAAGGAAAGTCAGACAAACAGGGAATGTGCAGTGCTGGTAGAGGATGAGGAAGTGGCTGGACCTTCAGGGCTTCAGGTGAGGTTGAAAGTATTTATTTGGTTTTGTTGGTGGTTTTATTTTGTATATGCTTAGATCTGATTTGTTTAATGCACTACATATGTTTTATTTATTATAGGGAACTCAGGTATTCAGGGAAGATGTAGTGCAGGCAGATATCGAAGCTGGGCTTCAGGTGAGGCTGGAATTATGAAGATAAAATATGGGATTTTTTAAAGTTTCATAACAGTGTATTTGCTATTTAGGAGGCAGCCAATGAGAGTCACTCTCAAGAAAGTGCCAGGGACAGCATATTTGAGATAGGTTGTAAACCATATCAGCCTGATCCTGAATACAGGATATATTTACTATCTTATTTACTATAAACATTTAAGCCATCTTGTGGACAAAGTTAGAATGAACGCAACACAAAACTCAGAAGTTCTGATCCAATTGATTTTGTTTTAACGATTAGAAAAAATCCTTAACTGCTTCTCATTCAGTCTACAGCTGAGTTTAGTATAGAAGGCGACACACTATTGCAAATATAGTGTGTGATTACACAACAAATTCTGGGGGAGAAACTCTGGACCCCGTGTCAATGGGTGTAGACTCAGGTCGTAGTGAATGTCCCCACCAAGATTGGAACCAAACCTACACCATTGCCTGAATCTATCGGTGAGCTGAATATAGCTGAAAATGTAATCACTTTACAGAAAAATGCGCAAATATCTGCCCATAACTTCATGAGTTATGTGCAAACAAACAAACTCATCAAGCAATATCATGATAAGATCTACTAATGGGTACTATGTGGAAAATTAACATTAAAGGTGATTTCAGAAATTCAATTGTATTTACCGTTAATTCCGGACTAAGATGCAACTTATTTCCTGCATTTTTAAGGGTGCGGCTTATAGTAAAGGCTTGATTTTAACTTTTTCTTTCTGTGGCAGTAGATCAACAGATTTAATGAGTAGTACACAGAGGTCCAATTTATTTGTCGATAAAGCAGGTTAGATAAAGTTTACTCTTACTCTTATTACTCACATTAAAAAGAAGACATGATGAACGTTTTTGAGCAACATTTTTTAATATTACAATGTGGGTTGGATGCGGTTTGTACAAGTACACATTTTATTTTATTTTTATTTTTTTGCCTGCAACTCATAGGCCTGAAAATAAGGTAATTATTTTGACCCTGTACCATCACTGTACCATCACTTTTCAAAATGAAATATTCAAAGTGCACCTCTACTTAGCATGACCACAACAAGTAATATTAGCTGGAGCAGAATTGTTACACCAATGGCAAGGATTTTAATTTCTTTTGTTGAATCAGGGAGCTGTATGTGTGAGCATGGGTGTAAGAAATGTATTATAAATATTTTGACTGGCAGATTTCTAGATGGACATTCGTCTGTGACATGTATGCATATCGGCACAGTAACCCCCTGTTTATACACACTAAGGCTGAGAATGACCAAGGCATAGACTGAAAGCTTTGCTAACCTAAACTGACAGTTTTCATTCCTTTGCTCACAGCTGCCATCTTAACTATGCCTCAGAGCTCCGGCCTCGCACCCCCACTTGCACCAAGAGAGATCTGAATAGAGAGCTGCTTTTCATATAGCTCAAGACAACTTGACAAAGTTGCTGTTGCAGAAGGGAGCCATAAGCTTTTGAGGCCCAGGAGGAATGGTCAATATACATAAGTGTATTTCAGTACCTCATTCTGCTTATTGGAAAAGGGTGGAAAATATACAGTAAATCTTTTTGGGGGTAAAGGCAGAGTGTGTCTGGATTTATTTCCACAGTATGGAATGTGACTCAAATCAATGAGAGTTTATGTTATTAATTGGATGGCCTGAGATTTTATGGCCATGACCAGAGCTCTGTGTCACTTTGGCAAGAGCAAAACACTGCAGCAGAAAACGTTAAGAATCAAACCTCATCTGGGATATTGAAAGACCAACAGTACCTTCATTCGGAAAAATGTGATGCTGGTTAGTAGATCTACTGTGGACTTGAGATCTTGGAGTCGCTCTGGGTTTCCTGCGGGAAAGTTGTCCTAAGAAGACCAAAGAGAAATAAACAACAGTTAAAATACAGAATTCTAGCATCGCATACCCACTAAATCACAGCACATAAGTCAAAGTGTTGAAATTGATTAGAGAGCAAAGACCAGCAATCATAAGGAAATGACTGTCTGTCTAATCGTTTAGTGGACAGGGGAGGTCTCTGTTGATGAAAGCTTCTATTTCAGGGCCATGAAGTCATCAGGCAGAGCACAGAAGTGTGACTGAGTGCATATAAAGCCTGACAGCCCAGAGCAGAGCCATCACTGGTGCAAGCACCCACCCACACCCTTCTTTCACTGTATTGTAAAAAAAAAGAAGAAAATCCTTGTCTTCATGTTCTTGATTTTGTTTGTCAATAAAAATGCACACAGGAGACTCAAGAAAAAAAAAAGACAATCTTCCAAGAAGCAGCCTTCCACAACCCAATCACAGACATACTGGAGGCTTCAAAGTTGACCAAACAACTTTTTATGAGAAAGGATATTGAAGCCATGGCTTCACTTGGAATGGGCAACAATAATCCATTCAATATTTGAAAGGTTTAGAGTATTTTCTGATTTTTTTATCAAGTGATTTCCAACAAAATACATACATAAACAAACAAACATGACACATTAGCTATGACTGGTAGAACCTTTTTCACCTAAACAAAAACAAACCAAAAAATTCATGTAGTTGTTGGTGCATTGTTGGCAAAAATATCCAATGCCAAAACAACCCTGGTGCATTTATATAAAAAAAAAACAAATATTTCATCATAATGAATTCTAAAGAGCCACATGGATATTCCATTCAGCAGAAAATCAAATGATCCTTCTTATACTTGGTAAAATAAACATCCTTTGTTAAAGTATATGTCAGTTTTACCCAACCACAAGGGACTAAAACTTCATTAAAAGTGAAGCTTCAAGGATTTTGACTGGAAAAGCAGAAAAGATCAAACGATAAGGAGTAAAAAAAAAAAACACATTTATACCAAAAAGTCTGAGACATATCCTGAAATAACATTTCCCACAGAGCACATCCATGCAGTATGGACAACATTCCCATTCAATTCCATCAAAAAGAGGAATAAAAACATTCTGATCGGCATTTGTTGGCTGGGGAATTATGTCTACATTTTCCTTTTGAACTTCAGTTTTAGTTGGATGCCTTGCTGTTACAATACAATTCATGCACTGCATACACTGCACCTCTACGAGCATTCCTAGTTGTGCATTGCAGCACAATAATATGTTCAACGGCCAGACATTTGTTTTTTATTGTGTATAAACTTTCTCTCCACTGTAGCAATAATAATGTAAAGTACCTATATAGCATGGCACCCATGGACGCTCCATTCATTCACTCCATAGACAGAGGTGGTAAACTACTGCTGAAGCCACAGTTGCCCTGGGGCAGACTGATGATAGACTCAAATTGACTGTTTGACCATACCACCTTGTGCTTCCAGTGGTCTCCCATCACAGCACTAACCAGACCCTGCTCTATCTATAGTAAAACCTGTTGTTGAACCACACCGCTTATTTAATTTTGGATTCAAGAGTTATAAATATTTGACTTCTTGAGTTGTGTGACAGGTGATACTACTTGTCCCTTGAGGTTTTATTTTTGTTTTAAAGTTGAAAGGATTATCATGGGATTAAAATGGTTTAGAGATGATTACAATAACTGGCACAAATACAACTGCAGATTTGTGCTAATTCCCAAAGGAAGAAGAGAAGCCCTTCAAGGAATAACAGATGAGTTCTGTATTCCTTGGAGACTAAAGATTATCTGTTTTAAAGTTATAATTTGAACCACACAGCTGTTGTGTAGTTTATTGCAATTTGTTAAAATGTGTTCCACAATGCAAGTTGTTAGATACTTGAACGTGAAGTACAACAAGATAACTTGGAGCAGAAAGCACCAGTTTATTCTAACAAAAAGCAACTAAAATGTAAACTTATTTGGTTATTTGTTTAGGTTATTTACTTTTCTGACCATGGATATAACTGTGTCTTGCTTCGACCCCTTCTCAAACTGAGCAATGCTGTTTATTTTGAATCCTGTTTATTCTTTATTTTACACGAATGAAAGTTTGAAAGAAATAGATCTGGGACAAAAGAGTGATGGTGTCACTACACGTCAAGCCTGTAGGTGTTCCGTTAAACTCCAAGAAACGCGCATGTGGCAAAATGCAAAATGGCAGATCATTCTGTGCTGATCCAAGGCCTGTGTTTTACAAAAGCAAACTCAATCTACCATCTGAATGTCATTATGGGAAAATCCATATGATGGACGCTGGCACAGGCCAGATCAGAATCTTATTACCATCTGATAGTGAAAACCGGCCCGAGGAAAGGGAGACACTGAAGACTGAAGGAAGGAGTAGCTGAGTGTGTTGACTGTGTGTGAGTGTGTGAGTGTGAGTGTGTGTTTGCATGAGAGGCAGCGGTCTGTGGCAGGCTTGACAAGAAAGCAGCAGGCCAGAGCTGGCAGGTGAAGTGGATGTGATTTTCCCTGACTGCTTTCAGCAGACATGTCATCACTGCACGGAAAAATAAGGTGTACTTTAACCAGTTTTTTCCAAAAACATAAGTAGCTAAATAAGAGAGAGACTAAGACTAAAGATGGTACTCACCAATATTTTTTTGTTGATAATATTTAACACTCTTTGAAATTCTAGAAAAAAACCAAAAACAAACTAAATGTTGAAGATAACAGTGCTTTCACTTGGTCTTAAAATGCTGCAAAAATGCTGTGATGTAGGAAGTTTCTCCGTACTTGTGGAGGTAAACAAAGAACTCCAGCACTTAAGTTGGAAGGTGATGAGAGTTAAAGATCAAGAGAAAAACCATGGTTACGATCAAGTTTTAACTAAAGCCCATTGATTCTGTAATTAATGTGCACAGCCACGGATCATTATCTGCTGACTACTTTCATTATTACAATTCCTGATAGGGCATCCTTAATACGCTTGTACATTTCTTTACAGGCTCTTCTTAGCAAAAGCAGACGTATTTTGTGAAGGTTTTTGTTTCTGTAAAACCAGATCTCAATGTGATGTTTTTTCCTAAGGCTAAGTGCATTTTTATTTACGTGCAATAAGCAATGTAATTTGTCATCTTATCTGAAAGAACAGAGGAAATTCATCTGCGCACATCCACGAACATTTTATATCATTTGTTTTTGTTTGTCCTAATTCCAACCCCTCCTTTCCTGTCTTCTCTTAAATCCTTCATTCCCTCCATCCACCTGCAACACACTGTCCTTTCAAGTCTGCGGTCTTTCTGCCTCTATTGTTATCACCATGCCTCCCTTCGATCACACTTTGTTTTCCTTTGTAAGCAGACAGCGGGAAATGCTGCTATCAGGAGATTCTCTTGTAATCACATGTGGCTTCACACAACGACCACTGGAGAAGAACAGGGGGAAGCTACAACATCAGCTCTTCCTGGAGAGAGATATCCAAGGCTTCAGGGGCATGTTTCAGTTACAGTTCAGTGTGCGGCGCTCAGAGGCCGAGCGGCGCTGAATTTGTGACAAGAGAAAAAAAAATCTGTGCCAAAAGTTTTCACATGGTCGAAAGAACTGTCCACATGTATGAGAAAAATGTATTTATAAATATGTAAATATGTTAGATTAGATGGAGAGCACTTGTAAACAGCAGTGTTGACACATTTTTACTTATAAAATCTCACCGAGCACTGTTTGATCCAGCAACAAATCCCCATGAAGCAAAACGGCTGGTTCTAATAATGGGCTTAAAAGTGGAGGTAATTTGACAGAGGATTACTAAATTACACAGTCGTTGTCATAACACAATGAAAAACATACAAAGAAGAAAAACAGTCCTGCATAGACGGCAAAGAAAAATCAGCTTGAGACAGCATGGCTCCCGAGTCAGTATCGCACCCAGGTTTCATAGTAAAAAGGTTTCAGGTTTCATTTTAAATGTGAAGTTTTGCAGGTTTGCATGTTTTCTTCCACATTCTCTGGTTTTCCCCATAACCCAGAACACCATTTGTAGAATTCTCCGGCAAAGGTACTCCTAACCAAGTCAAGCCTGATGGGTCATCGGAAGCAGCTCATAGGTTGTCCTAGTGGCATTGGACAAATGTGTAGATGGAGAGGACACATTTCTAAGTATACCTTAGCTGTGAATGTTTGGATTTAGCATCAATGTTTTTTAATTAAATCTAGTTTTAATTGATTTTTGATAATCTCTTTCAAATATATGGTTGTGAGCTCACTTGTAATGTATTTGTATAAGTATTGACTCACAAAAACCCAACACACTACGAGGCACTGGCAGACTAGAGTCTATATAGTTCAGAGATTTAAACTGGGAAACACACAAATGAACGACTAAACAGGGAGGAACATAAGAAAACACTTACCCGATATTTGGAGAGATCGATCCGCAGAGAGTTATGAAGCTGATCCAGCAATTTGACAAACTTTTCTCTCTGTCAACAAAAAGTTCCATATGTTAAGTAAGCCTTCACATTTACATAACATGTTTTCATTGTAACTTTCAGCATTATGAGAATCCCATCTACAATGAATACTTTCAACAGATTTGGGACTGAAGGTTTTCTATTCTACACTGTTACTGTATGTAAGGAAAAATTAAAAGTTTAGACTTGAGGCATATGAAGTGGAAACTGGACATTTATAAACACTGTAAAAAGTTATCAACATCTTAAATAAAATACCAGAACAAACTGTTATTGGATGGTCAGTCTTTGTTATTTGTTGAAAGGCATTTTAGGTAATTCTTTGAATTATGTAAAAAGAACCAGCAGCATCTTCAGGCCTCTCAGAGGAGTAATTATATCAACAGGGTTATATCACTGCGCTGCCGAACGGAATGTTTCAAGAGATCCCTTGTTCTTTCGGGTGTCAGAATGTATAACAGACCTGGATGAGTCTTCTGCTGCTGGACACCTGAATTTCTCCCATGTGGGATCAATAAAGTATCTATCTATCTGTCTATCTATCTTGCGGGAGGAGCTTATCTGTTATTTGTTGTTTCTAATAATCCAAAAATCCCAATAATCGCTTAAAGTTTAGTATTGGAATATATGTGATCCAATCGCATTGTGACCTGCCGGAGATACAAGGCGATGCCCACCCCTGTTAGGGTCATTGTCCGATCACAACCAAGATTTATCTCATTTTCTGTGTCTTAAATATTTTCACATACTGCTCCTTATTAATGATGAATTCTATTTTATGATGGGACCAGTTTTTAATTTGCAAAACAAAGTCAGAACAAAGTCATTATGGCCAAACTAATTCTCTCGCCCAGAAATTTGACTCTAATGTCTTGACAAATTGGAATGTAACTTTTAATGTTTTATTTTAGTGATGGCTTCTTACTGACAAAGTGGTTGTTCCTCATGTGTATGTACAGGACTCTTTTCACTTTAGACAATGATAATTCTTTGCTGCTTATTTTGATATTTTATTATTTAGTTTTTGTTTAGTAAAATTGTTGAATGTGGCAGCTTTAAGAATTTGGTAATTGTATGTTAAGTTGTACCAGACTTGTAGAGATCCACTATTGCCTTCCTTACATCTTGACTTATTTATGTTGATTTTCCAACATGATTCAAATACATAATAACTATTGTGTGTTTTAAGCTTCTGACTTAAAAATACTTCTCGATATTGTGGCACCGATTATTTTTAAACAAAAAACACTGATATTGTTGGTAAAAAAACATAAAACTACCATAAACTGAAAACAGACATTGATTGCTACATTGTTGTTATCAAGACTATGTAACAGTTTGACCAAGTACCATTGTTTTTAAAATACATACTGTAAGAGTAATCGTTTTTGCACTTACCCCAAAGTTGGAGGCTGCAAATCTGTCTGAAGCAGATGCTGTGGTTGTGGTGGTGGTGTGGGCGAAGTAAGCATTTATATTTGCAAGCAGGTTGCTCATCACTGCTGGCACACCGGGACACATGTATTTGGCCGAAAGACAGGAGAAATGCCTGTGAATGAAATACGCAGCAGTTATTGTTTTGTACAATATGAAAAGAGACCATGCATAATGCATTAATACGTTGTGCAGAAGAACATAACTGCCTTGGCCTTGTCTTGTTGAATATGAAATAAAGAACATTATTTTATTATTAAGTTGCATATAATTAGTAGAAACCCTAGGACTTAACATTAAAAAGAAACAATCCAGTCTAGGATATTTAGTATATTTAGCTGAAATCTTAGACTGCCGAAACAGAGAGCATATTCTAATGTTCCAAACAATTACTTCACCTGGAAGAGTTACTGCAAAAGTACTTGACGGCTGGCCGCTTGCTCATGTAATAACAATAAATCAAAGCTATCACGTAGTAAATAAGCTCTGGATAACATACAGCTTGAGAGATATAAAGCTCCAGAAAGCAGAGCAAGCAACTTTAGCAGTTCACTGTCAACGCTTTATGGAAGGCTAATACACTTCATAATTGCATTATAAAGACCAGAGGAAGATTGTGTTTTAGTGTTTTTGGAATTGATGCAAGCAATCACAACAACTAGAATCTCTGCTTCAAAAAAAAGACTTTCCACCAGTGCTTACCAAGCGCAATACCAATACAATAGTATGGGTAAACTTTAATTCTGTAAAATTAAAAAAGCTTAGTATTATTAAGTGTGAAAAGCTTTAGGTCATGGTCACACAGATAAATGGTTTTGAAAACACATTCATACAGCTGGATCTGTGAATATGTGCGCTCACACTGAGCTGCAGATGGCTTCAAATTGTTAGACAGGATAGCAACTCATTTACCAGGCCTGAGGTGTGGCAGTTGTGTGGACATGATTTTAATTTCTGAGCAAACAGTTGGGGAATCGAAACTTGCAGCAGAGACGAGTGCTTCATGTGTCTGCTCTCGAAGAAGCATAAGTAAAGACATTTCACAAATGTTTGATTCCATGGGGAGAACAAACCATGGCGATCAAAACAGTAAAAGAAATAAGCAATGGGAATCCAGATAGAGATATTGGAGATAGCGATTCAGTTTTGTTATTTAAGATTACTATTTTTTTCCCAAAAATACATGCAAAGTAATGAACACAGTTTCAAAGGGTTCTTATTTCAAACTTGTGGAATAATGATCCTATCTACAAAGTCTGGTCCTACACACGTTTATCAGAAGGCCTATTTAATTACTCAGCTTTCAGCCTCCAAATTACCCAAGAGTACTTGGGGCTCAGCGAGGGAGTGATGCGGGTAGAGTGGCAACGGCATCCGCTTAATTCCCCTGGAGCGTTTAAAGCTCCATCTCCTGAGTCCATTTTCAAGAGGGAGATATCAGTTGTGCTTGTGTCCATATCTTAATTTTCATGATGCCTGGAGAACTACAGTAATGTTGTGTGCATACGGGACCCTGTAAGAATGTGTAAGTATGAAGCTGCTGTAGTTTACGCCCCAAATAAGGGGAAGAAAGCAGGGAGTGAAGGTTTTCATACATTCTTGAAGAAGCATAATAAGCCCAATATATAAAGTAATAGGAAACTAGATGGGAAAACTGCAGCTATGACTCCAACAAAAAGTCAATAATAAAGACGGTACTTATGTGAACTAAAATAACTTCAGGTGACAAAAGAGTATACATCATCATTGTAGAAGCTGTCACAACACTTGGTTACAGAAATTAAGACTAAAGTAATGTCGTCAAACACACTGATTTCTTGAAGACACAAGTCATGACTCTGCATTCATTTTATACAATTTTTTTCATTTTGAGATTTTCAGTTTCAATATATATATATACACACACACACATATATATATATATATATATATATATATATATATATATATATATATATACACACACACACTTTCTCATTCAATGAGTTTCCTTTCTTTTATGACTATTGACTGTAGATTCACACCCAGGCTGTGTAAGGGCTATTTGACCAATAAGGAGAGTGATGGGGTGCTGGGCCAGATGACCTGGCCTCCACAGTCACCGGACCTGAACCCAATCCAGATGGTTTTGGGGTGAGCTGACCACAGAGTGAACGCGAAAGGGCCAACAAGTGCTAAGCATCTCTGGGAACTCCTTCAGGACTGTTGGAAGACCATTTCAGGTCACTACTTTTTGAAGCTCATCAAGAGAATGCAAGAGTGTGTGAAGCAGTAATCAGAGCAAACTGCTACTGCTACTTTTGCTATTTTCAGTTGTGTCCACTTTCAACTTTTTTTTTTAAAGTTAATACATAATTCCAGATGAGTTAATTCATAGTTTTGATGCCTTCAGTGTGGATCTACAATTTTCATAGTCATGAGAAAAGTCTTTGAATGAAGTGTGTCCAAACTTTTGGTCTGCACTGTATGTTATTTCTTTTAGTCTCCAAAAGTTATATCTAATGGAGGCAATAGACCATTTATCAGGCCTAATGATACCAATAAACCATCATCTATCTTATATGTTGTCAGTCATGAGGGAATTGAGATTTGATTCCATCTTCTTAAAAGGATTGCATGTAGGAGCTGAGGCTTGAGGTATTTATGGCAGTAAATGGTCATGAAAGATTAGCCACACAGAGAGGAAGGAAAAGAAGTGTCCGTCCATGATCAATATGACCATTGCGAGTTAGAAGTTTTTTTTTTACACAGGACCAGCGATCAATCCAACTCAGCTCAATAGTCCTCTGAACTACCATCCTGCTGAGGAGACATCTTTACTAGGCCTCCTCTTGCTCCCTGTACTCCTCCCTTCTCCTCCACTCTTCCCAATGAGACAGTGACATATGGGTGAGGCAAAAGGCCATAGATCAGGGTGGTACTAACGTCATAGCCTGATAGATGGACTCCACTCCGTATCTCATGGCGAACTCATCCACTATCTCCTGGGACACGTCGTCAAAGTAGACCTTCCATGCCTCGTCCCCTTTCACCTGGGGAATCTTCACCACGCCGCCGTTCTTCACCTCCGTTAGGTAGTGGAACAGGTTCTGAGAATGCCATGAGAGAGATAAGCACGAGTGGGAGAGATGATGAAGCACGCTGTCATGGCATGTAATAAAAAAGGTGTTTCTGTCTACCAGTAAGTGAAGATTATGGCCCTGTATGGCTATGACGGAATCTCAAGGGGTGGTCGTAACATTGTGATGCTTACCTCATGTAGACAGGTGTACTGGCCGTGGGGTGGGGCCACGTTCTCCTCTCCTTTCATTTCAACACTGATCTTCAGTCTGATGGCGCCAGAAACTGCTGATTTGTCTGTTCTTTTATCTAAAAAAGAAAAGTTTAAAATGTCAAGTTTATTGTTTCATGCTTGAATGTCTGTTTCATTCAAATAACCCCTAAATAATGGTGTAAAATCTGTTCCTTAGTACGCCAGGAGAGTGGCAGATACATATTTTTGCTCTTTTCATTTCCATGTTTGCTACTTCCAGCAGATTAGCATACTATTTGTGCACCTGGTAATATTTTCTTTTTGTTTTGCTGGGTTGCAAATTGTTTGGCCACTTTAGACTCTCAAAAGACACAAATGTGAACTATAATGAATCAAAATGATCAGATACACACACTAAAAAAGGCAAAGCCAAAGTTCAAGAGGACATAAAGAGGCCTGAAGAGCAAAGTAGGTCATCAGAGGACACCCACATCAGTAAAGTCCTTTTTAAACATTCATTAAGGAGATTTTAAAATGCTCAGCGCAGAAGCAGTGAGCAGGGATCAGAATTATAATAATGCTCTTCTTTTAGCTAGAGGCGAATGAAAATAAGCACTTCCCTGCTATTATAGTCAATAATGATAGGCCAGTGACCACAATAAATAACTCAATGAAGGTACAGTTAATTTTGTGCTTTCTGAAAAGCCATTTACTATGGCTTCTAGTGAGCGTTGATGCAGAAGTAAATCATACCCAAATTATACCAAACGTCCATTTCTCCACTCAGAGTGCGGACCTCGATGATGGTTTGTCCCAGGAAATCATCAGACTCCCTCTTGAAATGCTGCTTCACCCGCGATTTTATGTCATCGTCCTCATCCCAAACTCGTACCTTGATTCGGTCTGTGGCATTGTGGCATTCACTGAAATTTGGAAGATTACACCCAAGTCAAAACACAAAGTGACATAAGCAGAAACATGTTCAGAGACATCAGGTTTGAAGGGGTTCAGCGGTGCAGAATGACAGTCAGAAAAACAATTAGAGCAGAAAGTATTCTGAAAACAATCATTCTTACCCCTTCATAATATATGGTGTACATGTGGTGTCTCAGCCTACACACAAACCACAGTTTTCCATAACCTTATTCAAACTGTACAAATGCACCAGTAGAGTTTTACAGTAGTATTACATTGAGTAAAGCTTTCGCCATTTGGGTGGAGATGAGGTTTGTTAGGTTCTGGAATTAAACATGATGGATTACTTTCAGTCCTAATGACATCTTGGTCAGTTGGTTAAACAGATTTTTTTCATCAGACATTCTTTTCAAGAGGGCCGGCTGCACTTGTCGAGGACTTTCTGCCAAGCACACAAATGTATTGCTCTATTAATCTACATCTTTGAAGTAATGGAAAAGAGTTTGAGCCACTGCTGGAGTCCCATTACAGGTATGTCTTTGCTCCTGCATGCAGAGGCAATAAGTAAAGAGCACAGATACACATTAACAAACAAATTAGGAAACTCTCAATAATGTTCCTTCAGACCGGCAAAGAGTGGTTATAGAAATGAGAAAATTCTAAATTATTTATGTTGTGGTTTATTGAATAGGAGGTGTTTAAGTGGTTCAGTTTCTAGACTCTGGAGATTGCACCCATATTGTATCCCTTATCTTGAACACTATAAACATTATATACAGAATGAGTTATGTATAATAGATATGTACTTGTCCACAATAGATGCTTCATTTTGGTGATAATGTCCGTTTTCTCTTACCCTGATTCAAATCCTACTTTGTTTTTTCAATTGTCTTTTAATTTATTGGAACAAGGATGGACAATGCACTTTAATTAACGTTTTTGTTGCCAGACAGCCAAGTAGAAATAGGAATTGGCAGCATTGTGTCCACCTTTTGCTTTCTGAGGTGATATTAAAGGGTGAATGGAAAGGAGCGGTCATAATTGTGATTTAAATATCTGTAGAAGAATAATATTATATTTCCACACAAAAAAACGTTGTTCTAGTCTTAATATATGGCATAGTATCAGCTTTACTGGTGAGTGTTGTCAGTCTTACACTGCCACAAGTTAGGTAAAAGAGTATGAAAAGAGCAGTGCAAAGGAAAAGCGGCAACCCCATTTCGGAACACGTCATGCGGCTTCAGTGTGTGGCGTGTAAGTGACTGACCTACTTTGAATCCAGTGAAAACACTTTGAATGAGAACACAAAACCTTTCACCACACATAATATAATGAATGGGGGCTTGCTACAGAGGTGAAACGCCTCGCCCACTGTGTAAAGTATCAATTATTTTTTTCCACATAGGAGTTCCAAAAATTAAGAATTAGATTAAGGCTAACCAGTTATGTGGTAAATCACTGTTGGTTTTATGCCAAGTTTCTTTAGCTTTGATCATTATTCCCAGAGCAGATTTAGCACTGCGCAAGCAAAATGTTTTGTTTTTTTGTTCTGGGAAAATTCATGAGATCTTTACTTTGACAGTTAGTTCTGAGACTGAGACTGATGACGCAAAGCTCGATTGACGTAAAGAAGACATGCTGTTGGCACCAATATAGTGGCTATGGCTATTATAGCACATCTGAAATCTCAATAGTGATCTAAAGCGATAATTCCACAGCCAGGAATCGCAGCCATTAGTGAGATCAAGCGAACAATTACCCATGTTTTTCAAATAAGAAAATGTGGGTTTTGCCAAGGGGAGTTATGAATATTGTGATTGTCAGACCCCTCAGACATGCATAAATCACTCTATAAACAATCTACAAGTGCAAATGAGAGAGGAAAACAACAATAACTCGGTCAAAAGTAGTGAACAGCTGATTTTCTTCATCCTTTTCTTCTGCCACCAGTGTCTTTTTTTTTTTGTTTTTTTTTTTTATTCATTTATTTGACAGGGACAATGTAGTCATACATAGTTACATTATGAAAATGCAGCTGATGCGACACATACAGAGTGTATAGCTAATGCTAATTTTCAACTCCTGTCCCTGGTTGAGCTTTTCCCTACAGTGCAACACATTATACAGAATGAATAAAATAGGCCTAGCCCTAGAACACATATTTACAACAGTGATCTAAAATTAAGACATTCCCCCAACCAATAACAGCCATATGGGCAAAATATTCACAAACGAGAACACTCACACACACACTCACGTACACACACACACACACACACACACAAACACAAAATACTGTTTACAGGTTTAGAAATGGGTGCATGATTGGTTTGTTTTCAGCCACAGCTTGAGCTTTGAGGTGAACTCCTTGAATTCTAATATGTTTTTTAGTTCAGTGGGCAGCGAGTTCCACAGTTTGGCCGTTTTTATGGAGAAAGCAGACTGACCAAATGAGGTTCTCCTGTGTGGAATTGCACAGTTGTTGTGGGATGTACTTCTGGTGACTCTGTTGCTGGTCTGTCTCTGTATAAATGAACTTAGTGGCTCTGGTGCCAGGTTATTGATGCATTTGAATGTTAGTTTTAGAGAGTACAATAATATAAAATTTTCAAAACTCAGTAGATGACAGTTTTTGAGTATATTGCAGTGGTGATATGGATCATGATATAACAGCCACAGGTCATAAGGATAGACATAACATAGCACAGAGAAAGAGATTGATCAAGTGTGCACAAGCTAACCACCTCTTACATGGCTCCTGGTGCGGTGAATGATGAATCATGCATGTGAACCAGGAGTCAGGACCAATCAAAGTGAAGTGAAGTCATTTAAATATTATGGGCATTGAAGCTACATCACAGCACTCACTCACATACAGTCCACTCTTAGGGCTCATTTATCATTCCATAATGCTTAACAGTGGCTTTACTCTAAAATAATGCCGTGTGCAATTGGGTGAGTTGCACACAATATACAGTGCCATTGCGTTGCACATTATTTCTGTTGCAAAATAGAATAATAAATGAGGCCCTTCAACACTGTGTTCATACCAGAGGGTGCCATAAAGTGCATTACTTACAAGTAAAACTTTTCATCCCAGACAGGGTTGAGGTTTCCAAAGATTGTCTTGGTTCGTCGCTTGGTCTTGCCCACTTGGACTGTTACATAAGGGTCACTTGAACCAGTTTTATCCTTGGCCTGAAGTCCCTGGGCACTCATGACTAGAAAAAAAGAACATACAAACAGAATCTGACAAAAATGTAGGTTTTTTTCACATTTTCGAATTTGACTCAACTCTGCCTTGGTTCTCTACAGTATTCTGCAACTTTAGACTTACTTAATATTCAAGACACTGTATTTTCAGTCATAACTTTGTCATGCAGCCAGTGTCTTGCCAAGAGTAAAGAGTATTTAGTTCACTGAAAGTCTAGTGCAGTCAAATCTGCCTCCTCCTCAATTCTATATCCATAAGAATCTTCAGTGAGTATTCCCACAGTATTCCAACAGAAGAGCAATAATCACATAATCAAGAAAGAAGATCAGTGATTGAGAATCTGTCCTCCGCACATGGAATGGAGGTGCAGAAAGGCAGTAGTATTTCACTGCCATAAAAGGGAAAAAGGACACTGCTTCATTAAATATGCATAAGTAACTGTCTAAATTATTCAAGGTACATATATAACCCCCAGCCCGATGCAGACAGGAGCTGGCGGACAGGATACTGGAAGGGCATGGACTGTTTGGTGCTCGAATGATCAAAAACAAATCCCTCATCTCAAACTTTATGAGCAACAAAACTCAATTTGATTTGTTTGGTTTTGCTAAATCATGCTAATTCATTGGTCGTAAAATTGGTTCAAAATATATTGGTTCAAAATACATTGGTTCAAAATATAACTGATATAATGCAGACTTCATATTAGTGGTATTTTAACATTTGGGAATATATCTATCTCTACTATCACCTGAGATTCTTTTAAAATATTCATAGATTTTGATCAATCACATTAGACTGCATTAGCCAAGTCAACCATAAAATGTGCGATGATTCGTTAGATTTGTTCAATACATGCTATGTTTAGAGCAACTCACGGCCATGCCATGTGAGGCTTGTTTTACAAAACAATGATAAATATAACTGCTCAATAAATCTAAAAAAGGACTTTAAACAAAAGTAGGTGAGTCAGAGGCAACCCTGGGTATTTCTCATGTAATTCTATTCCCTTTTCTCGTCTTCTCAAACATGTTCTCAAACTCAGTTCCCTCTATAGTCTAGTGATTGATTCTGTCAAAAATGCATGATTGGAGTTACAGTATGTTTGTAGAATGAAACTACATGATAGAAATGGACGGCGGCTTTTTTAAGGGGATCTATCACATCAAACTAGTAATATGCTTATCATGTCTTGGCATAAAACACATTTCTGAATAAATCAAATACTGTAGATAAATAATTCTGAAATAATACATTCAAATGTGACATGTCTTGGTGTGATCAAGATACAGTTCATTGAAAAAAACACCTCTGAAAACATCTTTCAGTAACTCATGTGAAGGTCTGAGTGATTAGATTCATGAGTCTAACCTATAATGTTGATCTTGGCAGACCACTTGGAGGTGCCGTCCAACACAGCCTGCTTGGCCGTCTTCAGATGAGTGGAGACGTCCTCTTTGGAAATCTGGAACATTTCCTGGATGACTTCAAATACCTCAGGACGGTTCTTTTCTCGAATCTTCATGCGTTCTCTCATAGCCATGATAATATTCTGTGTTTTATCCTCTGCTCCATGCTTGGAACTTTTCTCCACAGCTCCTGCAAAGATTGTTCAGCATTGTATTTAGATATTTTTCACAAATAAATACTTATTTTTTCTTATGATGAATATGTATTTATTTGTTTACTTATCTGGCAATAGAAGTAGTAGAAGGGGTGGAAGTAGTAGTATGTGAATTAGTATTCTTAGTACTATGTATTTAACATTAGAGAATATAGCTCCAAAGAAAACTGTCATATCTAAATTGTTAAGCACAACACAAGGCAGTGATGGTTATTCTTATGTGTATTACAAGGGCAAAACGGTATTCAGTGCTGAATCTGCTTATCGAGGTAACCATCATGTGACTTCCAGTCATTCACAAGAACAGATTTGAAGATTTGAAGGTGGAGGAATATGAATAATTTTTTATGCTGGCATAAACCGATTGGAGGTTTCAAAAGGCCATAAGGAACTAATCCATTTAGCAATGTATTAGACATGCTGCATGGGTGATGAGGAGCTTGTGTGTTACATTGTTTCTTTGACAATAGGGAAGGCTGATTGTAAACAGAGATTGGAAGCTATGATGAGAGCTAGCGAGAGACATGAAACCGCATCATTGCATTTCAGCTTCAAAGGGGATTATGCATCTTTTTAAAATCTTTGTACTGAATAGAGCAAAATATAGAACAAAACAAGATGTTTTCTTTTGCAAAACCAAACTATTGTACAGTATGTAAACGCCTGATATCCGCCCTTACTTTGTAAACAGTCAGCATTGAGTAAATCCTGGCACTTCTCATGACACTTGACACCACATTCAGAGCAGCGCATCCCTTGGCGAGCGATGCCCCAGAGCAACCCTTCGCACTCATGACAGTAAGTGGGAGCTGTGGCTGTCCAGACCTCAAAGTTGTGAGGCGTTGTAGAGGAAATAGGGTAGATCAATGCTTGCAGGGTCTTCTTGAGAACATGGAGTTTCTAAAAAATAAAACAACAAATGTTTAATTAAGCCTTATTTGTGATAAAGATTAAAATTAAAGCGGTTTATACTTTTTGCATTTTGTTCATATGATACATTTTGACCATCAAACCATGTACATTTTGACAATCAAACAACTATGTTTTGTTTAAATGTGAATCAGAAGCCTTTATTCACATATTCCTAATCTTGGGAAGCCTCTCCAGGCTCAGCTCTGAGACCTGTCTAGACTGACTGCCGTGTTACTGAAGCCTCTGTAAATTCAATACAATTTGCTGCAGCCAAACCCCCATCCACTGGGAGAGAAAATAAGGGAGTTGCCAATTCTTGATGGCACAATCAATGGACGCTGTAAATAAAGTTTTTAAAAGTGACCATTATCCAGATTGAGAAAGCAGGAGAGAAAGTGACAGAAGCAGGAGAGGAGATGTACGAGTGTTAAATAATTCTTAACATGGTGTTTATTTCCTCCTCTTTTTCCCTGTTGACACTGCTACAGTGTCAAAAACCCACAACTATGAAATAAGTACATCACTTTCTTACAAAATAAAGTGACAAGAGGATCTGAAGTTTTTGCAATGTCATCAACTGGACAGACAAAGTTGTAATGAACTGTCGTAATCTGAGGATCATGAGATAAAGCAGATGTTAGATTGACTTTATCCACATCTTTTACATGAGCCTCACCAGATTCACATCCACATGCTCAGCCCTTCCAATTATTCACAGTTCATAGAAGATCAAAGGGACCCTGACAAGAAAAGCTTATCTTCTCGTCCCTTATTTTTGCTTAAAGGACTGACTATTGAATGTATACAAAATGGTTTTATTACTTTCATCACTCATTTTCAGATTGCCCAAAAATAAATTATACATTCAACTAATAATTGAAACGGCTTGTACATATATTTCATCTGAATCTTTTTGGTGGGTTCAACAACTGTACTGGTGGAGGACCCGCTTTTCGCTTTGCATTAAACATCTCCCTCAAAAACCCGAAAGCGAATTCACTAGGCTAAGTAACATCTCAGCGGAGAGGTGAGCTGGCCCAATGTAAGCAATACAGTTTTGAAGCAGTAATATCATCAGTAATTAAGTCATGTACATTTGATTTTTATCATACCATAGCAGCTATAAATATAATAATCACTTTCCTTAACATAACAGGAGCAGTTAACATGGGTGTGCTTTTTCTCAGGAAATTAATGCAGCTTCTTTTACTTTAAGAGCATGGAAATTGATTGATTTTTAAGGATTTGCCCCAAAAATATTGCTTCCTTTGTTTCTGTGTGAGTGCGCTTGTATTTTGAGCATTATACTCAGCCGTAACCCTGGTGGCGGATGATGATTGACAGCCTGTCTAGCCGCAGAGCAACGTAACCTCAAGAATCATCTCTTTACCTTTCATATCACCACCTTTTGTTCTTGCTGAGAATATATTACACAGCTATTGTTTCTGCTTGCAGGCTTTCACCGCTCTCTGTTCTACCATGAAGCAAAAATAATCTCTGATCATATGGATGGAATGACAAAAAATGACATGGTACGTCATCTCATCTTATAAAATGAAATTAAAAGAATTTGCAGGTTAGAGTTTGAGAAAACAGTGTACACTATGCTTGAAGTAAGTGGTGACATTAGAATGAATGTGTGCAATCAATTATATAATCAACACAAACGCACAAGTGGCAGGAAAAGGGCATGAGGGTTAAAGTAACCTGCTCATTTGCTCATGCGGTACGGCATATGGTAATTTCTACTACACTCAGTCCTCACAAGAAAGCACTCTCCTAGACTTAATGCAGCACATAAAACCCTAACATCTGCTCGTCCTACTTAACAAGACCACACACGCTGATCTTTGCTAATAGGAAGTCAGCTTCCCAACCAATTCGATCTACTCCTGTTCTTTGTCTAATCAAAATGCTAGATATCAATTAATTCATGAATTTCAAGTCTGAAATGGAAAATCTCAAAGATGACTTGGAAACGGCCCCAAACTTCCCTCACCAATTAAGATTGATCTATTTTTCAGATGGGATATTTGCAGTTCATCCTTAAAGATCCTCAAAGTTCTAGCTATTGTTGCTGTTGGACAATCAACATACAAAACCAACACTACAAAAATCCACAGTGAAATCAATAAGATAAGACAAGATAAGAGTTCCTTTATTCGTCCCACAGTGGGGAAATTTCAATGTTGCAGCGCACACACAGGACAGAAGTAAGGGCACACAGGGAGCACACAAAATGTACAAAATACAAAATAAGTAGTAGCTATGTTTCTTAACTAGCTGTAGATGCTGTAAATGCTTCAATACCAGTCAAAAATATATGTAGTAGTGCAGAGTTATATACTGTACATACATATAGGGCAGGATGATAAGTAGATAAGTAAAGTGACATCGTTCAGTAATCAGTGGACATTCTGAAGTTGCACTATTGCACAGTGCACATGATTTACTTATTTACAGATGAATGAAATTTACAGGCTCAGCAGTTCTCATCGTACAGTCTGACAGCAGCAGGAAGGAAAGACCTACAGAACCTCTCCTTCACACAGCGAGACAATGACTTTAAAGATAAAAATGTATACACATGTGCTTTTATAGACCCTTGAATCATGCTGGCTGAGGCAGCTTCATGTTTCACATCGGATATGAAATTGTTGTCTTGGTTCATGCTGAGACACTGCGTTCTCATGCTATGTGTCTCCAATAACCCTGTCTTCCCTCAGGGAGGAAAGGATTGCAATCAATTAATGCAGAGAGCCTTTGGAGGTCAACAGAAAAGTGTCTCATTGATGAAGGCTGTTTGTCCCTTTTTGATAGATTTTGGATAGCTAGAGCCTACTGACCATTTATTTAATCAACTGCGTAATACAGAAGGAACAAAAGGCAGAACAAATTTAATGGTAAGCTGTACAAAAAGAAAAAGATAAATCCTATAGGAAAATACAGCATACAATATATCTATATATATATTTTTTTTTAGAAAGCTATGTACCACCAAATTGTCAGGTGCAAATTGCAAGGCTTGTTAGAAAAAGCTTAGAAAAGCCCTGTTGCTACCTTCGCATAGTAGCAGCTTGAAATAACCCACTCTTCCCAATGACCACAAAGACCAAGCACACAGTACTCACCAGATCCTCATTGTTCAGGGTAGAGCGGTTCACTAGAGCAAACGAGATGCCTGCCTTTCGTGCAGCGAGGGTCTGCAGCAAACAGGAAAAAAACATAATAAGAAAATATTCTTCCAGTACATTACTTAAGTTCTTAAACACTCAACGCTTAATTATGATGGGGTAGAATAAATAAAACATAACTTACCAAAGCCTATCATTTCCAGTTGCAAATAAAACATTAAAGGGAGATAGAAATCGAGTTAGAGACAGACCATAAGTGAATACGCACAGAGTACAAACAGCAGAGTTATGTTTGACAAAATTGAGCGCAGATAGGTGCTCAACTGCCATGCAGGACTGCGAGTTAGGTGCACAGCTCTGCGGAGATCACCATAAATCGAGTGACATTATTCAGCAGTTGCATGACTATTTAACCGCTCATGCATCAAAAGTTATCAAATTGCAGTCATGCTGGGCTTTTTGCAGTTTGCTAGTGGATGGAGCTTTGATCATATTTTCTGCTGTCTGCTTGGTACATTAGGAGAACAAAGACACACTCACACATTCATGAATGGGTGAAGCCAGCTGCAAAACAACTCCAACAGACTCATACAAACAGGACACACACTCGGACCAACACTGACATGGATGTTAAACATACAAATACCCACATCGATTATCTGTTGTCGATCCACTGAGTCATTGAGCCTACTGTAAACGTGGTTTAAGAGGAAAGCAGACATGGACAGCTGACAGTCTCAAATCAGTCTTTACCAGCACCCACACGTGTCTGCACAGCTCAGCGATGGTAAAGATCCATGAAGGCCATGGAATATGTAGGAGGGTATGCGACCTCTACATGAACTGTGTTGATGTAAGTTTATCAACATGCACCGGCACTGCTGAGGTTGCTGCGGGCAATGCATTATGAACCCATATTCAAACATAAGCTTCAGCTACAGTGGAATGTATAGTCATTTTGGAAATCAATTATCATTTACTTTACTAGTATATACTTTGTTGCCCTTGCTTACTGTATCAATAAGACGCTGTTGCTGCCCTGAAGCAATCACACAGCAAATGGGGGATATTGACAAAGGGAAGGCATGAAAGGGAACCAATTAGTTTGCTGACTACTGACTTCATCCCATGTGTAAAAGGCTCGCCACGTGTTGCTTTTACATGATTTAAAAGCCTTACACCATTAAATCAGTAAGTCAATGAAGTCTTCAATTATATATTTTTAAGTTGAGTTGTCAACATTTCAAGTGAATCAAAATTTTATCAGGTGCTGAGCAGTAAGAGAGAAAAAAAAAAATCCAATCATCAGTGTCGGATGAAATCTGACAACCCACTGAAAATATTACCCATAGCTCTTATGGGTCTATGTAGGAATGGCAAATATACACGCAAAATTTAAAAGATAAAAATTATAGTAATAATATTAATTTCAAAAAGTAAAAATAACAACAGCCCATACTTACCAAGACATTGTTGGTAATTAATTTCATGAGAGATATGGACAAATACAGCATCAACTCATGTTGTTCACTGTGTAATATACATTCAAAGTATCTATATGTGTATGACACCATATTTATTATCAAACATCATTCTAATCTGATTTTTTTCTGTTTTTCTCAATAATAATTTAAGAATGATTAGATTTTCTACCAATTGACTTCAACACATGCTGATGAGACACATATGAAGACAGGACAAACACAAATTGCATTGGACATAATGGCCAACCCTAATAAAATGGCGTAAATTGCATCATGGCTGCATGTTTTCATCTGGCGCAGTCTTTGTGGCCGACTTTACTAAGTATCTCTATGGGATCTGTTATGACACATTATGGAGCAATACAAGTAAATGCGACTCAGTGTCTTAAACATCCTCTCCTGGCCAATTACTAAATCCAACAAGATTGGAATCAACAAAGCTCTTCCCTTATTTGACAAACAAACAATTTCAAATTAATATCATTTTCTTGATACAGTGTTTGTTATTAACATATACTAAAATAATAATTACATGTATTTTTTAAGCAAACTGAAATACAGGATAAAACTCTCCATTGTAAAGTAGGGACGCTAACATTTGCCATAAATCACAAATAACCTTGTTGAGGTAGATGACTCACCAGGTCTCGGACAAGAGGCACTGTCCTCTTTCGGCGTAAATCTGGCATGCTGTCAATGCCATAAAGAATACTGCCAGCCCTGGGAAAGCAGACAGATTGAAAGTGCGTTAATATCATAATAATGCCATGTTGGAGGAGACATTACTGTGTTGAAAGGGGACCTTGATTTACACGTATACACCAACACCATGGATCATGGCTCACAGAAACCTTACATGCTTCACCGTCTGCCCCGAGCGTAGCTAGCCTGAGACCTATCACCTCCACAAGAGATCTAGTAATCCTTCACTCTTCAATCCCTCTGCAGTTCACATATAGTTTTATCATTCTTCCCAAAGCTTTTACTATTGTTTAATCCTCTGCACACACCTTGGATTTGATCCATGATAAATTAATGCAGATGTATGTACTCAATGTCTAAAAGTTATGTAATATGTGCATGAGCAAAGCTGAAATGATGGCAAATACATAATAATTATGATAATACAACTAATATAAGACTATTCATGACACCCAAAGACACTTCACATGGCACTATTCATTCAGACAACAGTCTGACACTTCAAAGCCACCACCATGTGGCACCATGTGGCACCATGTGGCACCTGGTGTTCCTAGAGGTCTCCCATCATCACAGTACTAATCAGGCCTTTTGCTTCTGAGGTCTTCCAGGTTCAGACTTTCACACAATTTCATGATTCACATCCTAATTTATTGTAGCCTATTTGACATGGCCAATTAACTCATTGACTGCCATTGATTTAGTTGTCGGACACTGGTGATTTCTTTCAAACTTTAACTGGGGATTACTGAAGAACAAAACTAGGTAAAAACCAACATATTTTTGCTCATGAAAGTAGACAGTCCAATCTTTCAGAATCTAGTTTTGTATTTTACGTAGTCATAGCATACAATAAAGTCTGTGGGTCTTGGAAATCAGTTAAATCAGCAAAAACCGCGGGCAGTCAATGAGTTAAGGAGGATAAATTGGCAGGATATAACGGTTATAAAATATGTCGCGTTTTTATTTTTTATATTTATTTCTACCAATAGTAATTTTAAAAATAAAGTCAAACACTAACTGTACCAGGTAGCGCTGGTAAACAATCCAGATTTAATTTAATACAATATTAATACAAAATGATTATAATTACAATATTAATATTTTTTTGAAATCATATTTGTAAGAATAATTGTGTCAGAAACGTGTAATGAAGACAATAACATATACATATTTTTAATCTCCCATGGAGTGTGAGATGGAGTTGCTTGAGGCCAAAGGTATAGTTACTTAAAACTGATAACATGACAAAAACTTTTCGGACAACCTTTACGATTTTGTAGAGGCCTTCCTTACATTTTTCTCCTCATCTTTAAATGAAAGCCCAGAGTAGACTGAGAGCAACCCTGCTACTTTCCCAAGTCTAGCTTTACCCTGTAAGGCTTTCAGTGCCATCACCTCAGCTGTCACTCAAAGTCTCTATAATGACCTGAACATGACATCAACGCCCTGATGCATCCACACAGTTAAAGCTCCTCAAGCTTTGCTGTCACTCTCCCACACACACACATACACGTGTGTGCACGCCCCCACGAGCACATGTGGTAATGGATCAACAATTGACGTGATATAACAAAACCATATCAATGAAAGTAAAGGGCGGCACAGTGGCTGAGTGGATAGCACTCTCGCTTCTCAGCAAGCAGGAAAACCCTGGGTTCGAATCCCGGTCGGACCAGGGCCTTTCTGAGTGGAGTTTGCATGTTCTCCCCATGTCTGCGTAGGTTTCCTCCAGGTACTCCGGTTTCCTCTACCACTAAAAACATGTACAATAGGTCTGGCATGCGCCTCCTTACTGGCACCCCGCTCCCATCTGTGTGGAGTGAGAGACAAATGCCCAAAAAAATAACAATTGTAAACCGCTTTGTGACTGTCTGTGAAAGGCGGTATATAAATTAAAATTACTTACTTACTTAATTTAAAAAACTTTATGAATATCAAAAGTATTCAGCACCTTTTCAAACCAATTGCATTTAGTTGCCTTAAGATTGTTGAATATTCAAATATTTCCGTAACTACAATGTTTAGTAGAGTCCTGAACATAATCTAATCTCAGTATTATTACAGTTTTTATGTGATGGCCATTCTTAAAAGGATATTGGTCACAAGAACAGACAGGACAGGGATGAAGCGTGGCTCAAAGAGCACTGTTCAATTCATCAGAATTGAAAATTGAAAGAGTATGGCACAACAGCAAATGTGTAAAAATATGTTTGGTTAGATGATTTAGAAGATTTGACCTGAATGCAAAACAGTGTGGTGGACATCACTGAACTCACACCATTTGAGGGGCTTCTTTTCTTTAGCAAGGACAGGTGGGGATTTAGTTCCATAAGGACATTAACCCTGAAACATAAAGCCATTTCACTCATCGAAATGGTTTGAAACAATTATCTGCAAGGATTTAGAGCTGGTCCATTTCCAGATTTCTGCCAAGATCTAAAAACTGCTCTTCACAAACTCCTTCCATCTAATGTGACAGAGCTTGAGCCGTTTTGCAAAAAAGTAGATAAAGTAGAGACATACAGAAAAATATCAATTGCAGAGAAAAGGGCTGAATACTTTTGCACACACTTTAAAATGTTATATTTGTAAACGTGTTCGATTATCATTTTGCAGGTACTTTTGCTTTAACTTCAGAAGGCTTCAGTTTAAGCAGTATGCATACTTTTGCATGGCACTGTAAGCCTCATCTGCATATGTATCTACTTTTACCAGACATATGTATCTACTCCAAATAAGGGGAGCAAGTAACATGTTTAGCCATCTAAAGCATATATTTATTCATGTCAGTACAATGCATACAGTGAATACAGTGTAAAGGACTCTGTAGATCCACCGTGAGCTTCCAGTAAACAAGTTAATAACCATGACCTCTGCCCTAAGCACTGCTGTGGCTAAATTAAAGACTTCTTTTTGAATTTGAGTATTTGCCAATAACGACTTAACCTGAAAAGGTGCAGACGTGAAGTGATTTCACCAAGTAATTAGCAATTACTCACCCTATAGACTGCAGGCCAAGCAGTTTGGGATCCAAAATACTGCGAGGCTTTGATAAGAAACATAAAAAAAAGTAAGACGAGAGTAACAAGTGACATAAACACATACAGCTTTTAAACACTGAACCGTTAGACTGACAATTCACCACAACAAAAAGTCACAAATGGAGAGGAAAAAGGAACTGAGAAAGGAGGGCAGCACTGAACATCAAATTATTCCACATCATTGTATCGTGTGGGATCTAAACTCATGCTTCAGGCTAAATCTTCCTGTTGTGTAACCCTCCCTTCTCACCGACTACACGTGCATTTCAAACAAAGTAGCTACAGTCACAAATTAGATTTTGTTTTTGTTTTTTTTCCAAGGTAAAGACATCACATACTGGTACATGCAATAGTCTCATTTACATTTCGTTCACAATTAGTACTTCATACTGGTCTCTATCTACAGTTTTGTGATAAAACAAATGGGAGTTCACAAAAACAGATGCATGCACAGAAAGGCCAAAATTCATATCCACTATAAACCTGTGTATCCAAAGCACTGCTGTCTGAAAGCAGAAAATTACAACATGCATAGAGTTAATACATTGAAGCTGAAAGACATAATCTGTGTAAAAAGTCTTGTCTGCCAGATGCTGTCTGTTTCACCAAAGTATTTATGCAGAAAAACAAAATCAACATGAACCACAGGGAAAAGAGCTCTACTCTAAATAGATGAACACAGTTTAAGCAAAGGAAAATCCTGTTATATTTAAAAGCTCTCAACAAAGGACTGGACAAAGTAGGAAAGCTTTTCGATCAATACAAGACAAATTAAAAGCACTGTCTCTAATCAATAGCACTACCTGGATGAATAAACATAGTGTAGCTATAAAGACATGCACATTAGGAAAGTGTTAGGTATCATATCGCAGGTGTAGAGCCAAAAATCAAGGTCTTTAAATAAACAATATCGCAAAGGTGTGATTACTGCACAATTGATATATGGGTGATTAATGGTGGTGTAATCATGTGCTAATGTTCTACAAACACCAAACAGCTGTTCACGAGAGAAAGATCAGATTCTCAGTCCTATTAAATTGAAAACTACTTGGCCCTTGCTGACATGCATAGTATACTGCAAAACATGGACACAATTTAACATTAGTGTACAATCCATTGAGAGCTGACAGTATATAGGCCGCAGGGTTAAGAACTAGAAAAACGTGTTGTCTGGAAATTTCTTTACTTATTGTATCAATGCAATTAAACACAACTGTTTATTCACACATTTACTTCATCTAGACGTAAAGAGTAATGTTAGATGTGTTTTTGCACTGCTATTCAATGCAAAAGCAACGTCACATTAAATATATTGTTTGATAGTTGAAGACTAGACGTTTGAAAAGAGTAAGACATTTTTAATTGTTTTAGTTACAGCAATATAATAGATATAGATATTACCTCTCTCAATAGTGTGGCATTATTTTTTATTTTACAGTTGTGCTTTCCTACTATCTACCTGACCAATTAAGACCACTCTACATGAAAAAGTATCTTGAGAAAATGATCTCAATTTGATACGGTATAGAAATCAACAAGAATTCTATATCAATATTGAACAGTACTTCGCATCACAGCTGGCTCTATATGAGATAGACTCTTCTTAACCAACATAATTTCATGTGATAAATACAGACTCTCTGGGTTTCTATGCTTTATATTATGTGACTGCAACAACAATCATGGGGAAGCCAAAATGCTCTTTGCCAAGAGATCACAGGTTATTCAATATTTACAATGCAAATCTAGAGTCATAATCATGTTTTTTTGTCCTGGGCCTGTACGTGTCTGTGTTTATTTTATGTTATAAAAACGTTGTTAAAGAAGAAAGTGAACACAAATAAACTGATTAATATCTGTGGAATCCTGACAGCGGTTTAAACCCTTCTTTACAACAAACCAGAGTGACTACAACATTTTCTCACTGTACTTTCCCCAAAGAACAAAAAATATATATACGACCGTCACACATACAATAATGACATAGACATTAATATTCACTGTCCCCTGAGCACCTACTAAAGGGTTTATTTAGGTTTCTTCAATGTCAACACAAACCAATAGGTTATGATATATGAATATACACAGTATAATTTCTAAATTTCAAGAAGGATTCTATATTCTATATGGTCACAAATGTTCTCACCTTACAGAAATCTAATTATTTTTTAGTAATGTAGCTATGAAATTTGTTAAGATAAAACATTTAGTAATATGATTACAGATGAATGATATAGCCTTAGTAAGATGTTAGAAAAAGAAGCTTGGTTAATGGATTCTTTTTCAAAAAATATCATACAAATATCAAGGTGACCCACTGGAACGAAACAATAAGAACGTGGTTTATGTTATAGTATTATAGTATCAGTTTCATAATTGATTACTTTTAGTGGTAGATAGTGTTTGCTGTTTTGCTCCTTAATAATTGAATCTCTACAATATAATATGAGCAATGCTAAGCAAGTAACAATATGCCCTTAGGGATGCAAATTAGCAGCTGAATACAGACATTTTTTGTCAAAGGTTTTGCACAGGCCCTGGCAGCCTGTACTTCTCAAAATCAATAGAATCTAAGACCGGGGAAACAATGTAACTGCATAAGACAGTAGATCGCATGTGTCTTTTCAAGATATTAATCATTTAAAACCTAAGATTTACTTTTCTTTGTGAGAAGTTACTGTATTTCTCACTGAGGGAATGAGGATGAAATATTGAGATGCCATTAGAGCAGTATATTGGTTATGTATGTACAGTTGCTTCAGCTATTTCAGAGAAAAAAGTAGGTTTTAAAATAAAACTGTTTTATATAAAACATTCATGTCGGAAAAATAACAAGTGTGTTAACATAATTCAGTTCAATACAATAAGAAAATATGAAGTTAGGAAATACAAATCTCTTCTGGATAACTAGAAATTCTGAAATTAATAATACAATAAATACTATAAAGCTCATACCTCCAGCCAGGATCTGCTGCTCCAGCTCAGCCATCTGTTTTCTGTAGGCTCTCAGTGCAGCTTCTTTGAATGTGGGGCGCACACGTTTTTTAGGAAGGGCTTCTAAAAGTTTCTCTTCTGGAACATTTTTGGTAACTTCTTCCTGTTGTTGATCCACTTTTGTCAGCTCCTCTGTGGCCTCATCCATTATCTCTGGCACCTCGGCTAAGTCTTCCATACCCTCTTCCATCTCCTCAGTTACATCATTTTCCTCTGTTTCATCTGGTTCTTCTACATCTACATATTCAACCATGGCATCATACTCTGCTGTTGCTGGAGATAAATGGGCTTCAAATTCCTCACTATACTCTTCATCATATTGATCATCTAAACTGCAGTCATATTCCAAAACACAAGCCTCTTTAGGATCCTCAGAACCTTCAAGGTTTTGAACATCAAGATCAATATCCTGAGGGACATCACTGACTTCTTGTGAGGCATCAATCTCATCTGATACATCATAGTCCTGAGAAGATTCACACTCCTGCGCATTTTCTATCACATCCTCAGTCTCAACAACACTTGATCTATTCTCCAAGTTAGCCAACACTTGTTCCATCACTTCCACATAATGAGTCTCACTGTCAAGCTGTTCTTCAGATTCAACAGGTGTGTCATTTTTCTTCACTTCTTCAGCTTTATGGTGAGCTGGCTCTTTGTGAACCTCTGGCAATGAAGTAGGTGGAGGAGTGGAATTATTGGTAGTTGAGCCAGACAGTGTCCGGAAACGCCCCATAAATGATGAGCCGGATGGCTCCTCAGGTGGAGGTGGAGGAGTTTGATTTGGTGGAGTGCCAGTTTTCCACACAACCTCCAAAGCTGATTTCGCTCGTTGCAGAGTAGAGCCAAACCCAAACCCAAAGGATTTCTCACTAAGGTCAATACTTAGCCTACTGCTCCAAGATTTAGGAACTTCTTCAACTTTCTCTGTTCGAATTTCACTTTGACTTCGATACATGCTTGAAGATTTAGTCTGTGCTTGGTGAAAACTGTGGTTGACATCCAATTCAGGAAATTTTTCTTGTTTTGGTAGTGTTTTTGATCCTTCTTTAGGTACAGTTCTTTGAGAAACTTTTGGGGTTGTAATGGTTTCAACTTTGGCAGGTTCAGCAGATGCAGGTCTTTGCTCTGTTTGGGCTACATTAACACTTGAGAGAGTCTCTGCTTCTTTAGGTGCAATTGTAGTATTACTTTCTTTATTCTGCACTTTTGCCACCACCCTAGGTTCTGATTTAGGTGTGTCTTTTGGAATCTCTTCTTGAGTTGTTTTTGCAGCTTCTTTAGTCAGCTCAATTGCAGGTTTGACAACTTCTTTCGATACAATATGTGGAGACCCCTTGAGAAATAGCTTAGGGGTTTCTTTTGGGGATTCCTTAGGGGAATCTTTAGGAGACTCTTTAGGAGAATCTTTAGGAGACTCTTTAGGGGAATCTTTAGGAGACTCTTTAGGAGATTCTTTCGGAGATTGTTTTGGGGACTCCTTAGGAGACTCTTTAGGAGATTCTTTTGGGGTTGAAGCCGGACTTACAACTGGTGTTACTTTAAGAATATCTTTAAGGGGCTCTTTAGGGCGCTTGGCAGAAATAACAGCAGGAGCTTCTTTTGTTAAGATTTTGTTTGTAACTTTTGGCTCACTATGGGGAACCTTTGACTGTATTTTAGATGCTTCTCTGACAGCCACTTTTGAAACATCCTTAGAACTTGGTTTTGAACTAATGATATCTTTAGAAACAACCTGAGGAACATCTTTAGCTGATACTGTGTCTTTAGAAATTGCTCTTTGAGTGTCTTTAGCAGATGTTTTATGAGATTTTTGGGAGTCTTTAGCTAAGTCCTTATTGGCTACTTTTGGTGGTACCTTGGCTGATACCTTGGAGGTTTCTTTTGAAGATATTCTTGTAGTTTCTTCTTTTGGGGCAACTTTTGTCTGTTTTTGTGATACCTTTGTATTTTGCTTTGATGGGTCTTTTGAAGATGTTTTTGTGCTTTCTTTTTGAACAGCCTTATGGGCTTCTTTTGCAGTTCTCAGAGACTTCGCTAATTCACGCTCTGAAACTGGAGTTATGATGTGGGTAGTAATCGGTGGCAGGGGTGCATCCCTATCACGCATGAATTCCTCATCGCCCTCAAACTGTAAGTCTACTTCTTGACATTTAGTTATATTCTCAGGAAACCCAGGAATAGTAGTTGGGTCAAATGGACTGCTAACCTCAACAGAAGCATCAAGACCAGAGTCCGCACCTTGTTCTAAATTATGCCACTCTTTCCATGGGGAAATGTCACCCTGCAATGAAAGTTGGGAGCCACTATAATGGCTTCTGTCACCAGACATACAGATGAGTCCATTGCTTACACCACTATCAATAGTTTCTGTTGTTTCAATTTCATTGTGTTCAAAGGGCTGACTCGAGCTTGCATACCAAGAAGAGGCCATATCTTCCTGCTTTCTTTGCCATAGCTCTTGATCTGACGAAGAAAGTAGGGAGCCACCATTGACCCGAGTAAAGTATGCACTCTCAGAAAAGTCCTCTGAGTAAGACTGGCAAAGTTTGGAACAGTCGGACTCAGAACGACTTAATTTAGGGGTAGAATATTCACTTTGAGAGAGCCAGCCAGGAGTCAAATCAGAGTAGTAGGACTTTCCATGTTTCTCTGGATCATAGTAGGAATCATCTGCATAATGACCTGACCCTGAATAGCTAGCCTCCTCTCCTGAACGACGATGGTCATGAGAACGTCTTTTCTCTGACTTGCTTTTATGAACTGGTTTTGAAACAAGCATTGCATATTTGTTTCTACTTAATTCCTCCAATTCTTTGTCACTGTCCATGGAATCCCAATCATCACTCTCCACCACCTTCTCCTTTGCAGAGGCCTTTATATCCATGCTTTCATACGTTTGAGAAGAAGACATTGCCTTTTCTTTTCTTTCTTTTCCATCATGAGGTAAGCTGTCAGTAGATACTGTTATTCCAGTTCCTTTCAGCTTATAGCATTTTTTCAAAACAACATCCCTATCTTGAGGTGATGCAAAAATAACTATAATGGGGCGAGGTTTTGCATTTAAACATTCCCTTTGTTGACCTAACCTATGTGCAAGTTCAATTTTAATTGTTTTATGAGCATCAACAAAACCCATTTTCTCTTTTAGTAATTTATAAATCAAAGTTTCAGTTTTTTCTGATCGTTCTTCAGGGACATTGATAAATCGCAATGTAGAATTATTAGCTTGTGTACTAACTTGCTTAATGTAATCGTGTATATCACGCGTCTCTCTTCTTGACTGAACAAATCCAGAACGAAGCTGCTCAATTTCACTCTGAACTACTTCTACACTGCTAGAAATTTCATCAATTGAGCTTTTCAAGGCATTTACATGACCTCGCAGTTCTGTTAGTTCTGTTTCTATCTGGCTGATTCCTTGAAGCTCTTTGAAAATCATCTCCATAACATCATGGGTTTGACTTATGCATCCTGTTGAGGAGGAACCTGGTTCTAAGGTCGAGGTCTTATGTTGTCGGCCGGCCCGATCCAAGGACTTGCTACGTATTCCCAACGTTTTTCTCCAGTTGCTCACCTCTGAGTCAGAAGAAACACATTCTTGACTCTTTTTCCACTTTCTAAGTTTCCGTAGAGCCCCGAGTCGAAGTGTATGTAAACTGGAACGCTCTACACGCTCCCCCTCTGAGCTTCCATCAGAGGGAGCCAAACTGATGAGGCTCTTTCTGTTTCGTCTAACCGGCATAGTGTGTGATTTATGTTCATCCAGTCGTCTAACTGGTTTTGAGTCACTTAAGGAATCAGAGTAGCTACTGTCGATTGAAAGAACCTCAGGAAGAAAATTGTCATTATTGTTTAAAAAATGTGAATTTTTTGGAAGTCCATTGGCTATAGCTACACGATAACTGAAGGTGGGGGAAAGCGACGAACAGTCGTTCTTTTCGTCGTCCTCTTCCAGCGATATGTTACGTGCCGAAGAGCATTTGGAAATTTTTTTAACAGTTGTCTTTAACGTTAAATTGTTTGCGTGTAAATCAGTGGTCAATCTGGACTCTTTGTTCTCGCTTCTCTCTTTCTTTTTGATTGGGTTGGCCAATTTCTTTGTAAACATTCCTTTGCAAATCTTCTCAATGTAGGATGATATAGTCTTAAGTAGGGCAGAAACCATGGATATCGATCCTGTTGAGCGTTTAAATCATCCAGTAAGGAATATCTTGGCAGAAAAACGAATGGCTGGGCATATCAACCTGTGCTTGAGAATATGGACTTGGCTCTGTGATTCTGAAGGATCCACTTTTACTTATAAATCCAAGTGTCTTCTTCCAAGAATATTACATCTGTCTGCAAGACAAAACAAAAATGTTTTCAGGGATTAGATAAATCTACAAAGTATACAATTAATATACATATTTCAGATGATGAAAATGTGTCATCTCATTACATAAGTATTATGTGGTAAATCCCATCTTTTCTTCCACATATGCCTGCTTTGGGCCCTCTTCTGGGCTGCACCTTGCTCTGCCCCCATGCCAATAATTTCAGCCTCATGGCAACTGCTCTGCCTTGCCTGTGAGTTTGACCCGCTCTGTTTTCTTCTCGGCCTGTTCTCAGGAGATTACCTGATGCATTTATTTGCTGTTATAGAACAACCACTTCTTCAATGTAGGGCTTGTTGATTAATCGATTTTAATTATTAAGTCAAATTTGACGTATAGGGGATTTCTTTTTAATGAAAATCTATTTTTTCCTGACTTTTTCTCCAGCGCGGAGCTACAGTGCTAACACGCTAACGGTGGGTGTTGAGTCATTTTGAAAGCTCCCTAATGCTAACAGTATGCCTTCTGTCCTGACCCTCGCTGTCACAGTGTGGTGCTGTTGCAGTTGCTGACTTTATTTAATCGCCAGAACACACCAACACACACTTGTATCCTGCCAGGCTCCGGTTGCCAAAGCGTGCTCCTGTGTCTGCGGCGTGCCCGCGCACACGCACACGCACACACACACGTGTCCCAATGAGCCGCTGCACTTTGGGGAAAGACACGTCTCACACATTGCTTTGATAGAAACAACCATGGATCTATTATAATAGCAAACAACGCAATCCGTGCTCGAGCTGTTAGCCACAGAATGTAAACAGGAAGAGAAGCGGAAACTTAACTCAACCCCCGAGGTAGTCGCTGAAGTTAGTATTAGTGCCACCAGCTGGACCGAGCGTTGTACTACAGCACAGCTCTGGCACGGTTGAAAGAACAAGCATGAAAACCCAAGGAGGAGGTTTTTGTAACAGACTTTCTCTGTTATAACAATTGTATTTAGAGTAATCATTAGTTCTAAAAATGTTATATTCCATATAAATAATGCATGTGTTTAATACAATTGATATATTTGCTATGGCCCTCGTTTGTGCATTTTAGGTTATTTTGAAGGTGCATTGTGTCACTCGTTTACAAGCATGTTTTAAGGCTTATTTCCTGTTACACGTATGCTCCGTGGGGAAATTTAGATTAAACTGCATGAAAAAAAATAAATTTCTTTATCAGTTGTAGTTTGTTTTTAAAT